TGCTGGTCAGGATCAGGAAAGTGACAGCACGTTCCATTTTTATCATGAGGAGTTTGAGTGCTTGATGAATGTATAAGTGCAGAAGCCTGGCAGGTGATCACTGTTCTGTGACTGGAGCTCAGGAGATGGCCCTGGTCTGGACATAGGACTTGTGACTCACTGGTGTCTTTGTGGTATTTATGGCAACTGAATATATATATTCTCTTTTAGTCACATATAACTATATGTGACTGAAAGAGTAAAAAGATCAAGAATGAGACTGTGGGTCACATTCTCATTTAAGGCATAGTCTGAGAAACAGGAGCTATTAAAGCAGGCAGATGTGTGTGTGTTGGGGGTGGGGGGGAGCCAAGATAGCAGATATCATAAAGGCTAGGGGAAGAAAATGTTTTAAGACAGAGGGAGTGGTTGTCAGTGTCAAATGTCATAGAGAAGTAAATATAGTTGAAGGTTAAGTCACTGGATTTAGCAATTAGAAGGTGTTATGGTCTGAATGTTTGTGATTCCCCACATTCATATGTTTAAATCCTAATCTCCAAGGTGATAATACTTGGAGGTGGAGCCATTGGGAGGTGATCCAGTCATAAGGGTGGAACCCTCATGGATGGGATAACTGTTGTAAATGAAGTCTAAAAGAGCACCACTTCCACCACATGAGGATGCAGCCAGAAGGCACCATTTATAAGGAAGTGGGCCCTCACTAGACACCAAATCTGCAGGCACCTTACCTTGATGTTGGACTTTCCAGCCCCCAGAACTGTGAGAGATAAATTTCCGCCCTTTATAAGACATCCAGTCTATGGCATTTTCTTATGCAGTAATTCCTCTATATACAAGCAAGTTCCATTCTGAGAGCATGTTTGTAAGTCCAATTTGTTTGTAAGTTCAACTAACACAGTTACCAGCTACATCACTGCTGCCTTTATGCTTGCTTCCAGACACCTTGGGCTTGAAATAGTTGCTGTACTACTGTACTTTATACAGTACTGTATAGTAAAGCATACAAAAACATCCTGTAGAAGATGAACACACATGGCAATGTACACCAGGCATGTGAACCATGAACTAACTTACTGGACATGAGAACCATGTTTGCATCTTTGAAAGTTCGTAACTTGAAGCTTTGTATATAGGGGACTTGCTGTAGTTATCTGAACAAACTAAGAGGAAGTGACTTTTAGCCTTAGCAAAGGCAATTTTAAGGAGATGATAGAGAAAGAATCCTAATAACAGTAGGTAAGGAAAAAACGAGTGAGAACTGAGAATAAAATACTCTTATGAGCAGCTGGTTTGTGAAGGAAAGGAACGATAGTGGAGGACATTAAAAGAAGGAGATACAGGGAGGCATTTTGGTGGAATTTTTCAAGTTTATCTTGAAAATGGTTGAGACCAGAATATATTTATAAAAAAGGAGGTAGAAAGGCGGATGACATTCATAGAAGAGTTGGATATTTGTGGAAGCAAAACCCCAGAAAAGGGTAGAAAGGATAGGAATTTAGTGCATGAGTGCAGAGTTTACACTTAGACAGGAGGGGAGAGGGTAACAGATGACAAGAGCGTTGGTGGAAAAGTTAGGGTAGTGAAGGGAGTTAATGGGGAGTAATATTCTGAAGTCCATAGTCCAAGAGAATAATAGGATATAATTTCCTTCAACAAACAAAGTGGGGGTTTTGAATTTCCACTGTTCTCTCTGCTAGAGGCTTGGTCAAAGAAGATGAATAAAAGGCTATGACCCTCACAGACCTCTCTGTTGCCTCCAAAACAACTAAACTTTTACCTCTGCCTCTTTTTTCACTTGCCCTTTCTTCCCACCCCCTTTGCTTTTTCTTCTAGTTTATTACTCTTCCATCTGCATTTCTTCTCCATCTTTCTACCTTCCCCATAGGCCCCCTCTGCCTCTTCTGCTGTCTCCCTTATCTGCACCCCATCTCTCTTGACTCCACTGATTTTTTCCCCCCTCTTCTATGAAATGGCCAAAACAAGGCAAGAAAACTGGTTTTTAGTCTCTTACATTACAGATAAACATTTGCTTCCTGCTTAATTTTTTTAAACAAATAAGTTGAAATTTCCTTGCCTTTCTCTAATACTAACAGTACATGAATTTCAATTAGCTTCGTTCTGTTGGTTAATGACCCTTGATAAAATAAACCTTCCCCACCTCGCTAGAGCCCATGCGGAAGGAAGTAGAATGTCTCATCTGCAACAGACATAGTGTTTATTTTGCACATACTGGAAACTCTATGAGAAAGAGAAGACTTAAATGTGATAGTCTTACAGACAACAATATGTTTTCAAGGTTTGCATGTGTTGTACTAGCATATAAGAACTAGTACAGAGAATAACAACAACAAAAACAGAAAGTAAAATTCAAACAATATGGGGAAATAAAAAATTCTGGCCAAAGAACACAGGTTGCTTCTGAAAATCTCATGCTGTTGCCAGCCAAGAAAATCATGTCCTCTTTGTTCCTCTCACCTGGCAACAAAGAGAGTTGAAGGCCGGGTGTCGCCCTGGTAACAGCAGGGGACACTCCCCGCACTGCTGAAAGGGCGCTACCCAGCCCATACACAGTACTATGGGGCCTGACTCTGGATCAAAAACACAACTGGGTTTGACAGTGACTTTGGCTTCTTTAACTGACTTAAGGTCAGAGGTTTTCAAATGTGCTTCAGCAGATTCAATCCTCAGCAGTAATAACAATTTCTGTTCAAAGAGGACATGTAAACATTGCATCCCTTGTTGTGAGCTAAATACTGAGCCCAGTCTGACAACAACCTAAATTGTGGTCATTCCCTTTGTAAACAGTGCTCAGATTGTATGACTTTTTTTTTTTTTTTTTTTTTGGAATCTCACTCTGTTGCCTAGACTGGAGTGCAGTGGCACACTCCTGGCCACAGCAGCCTCAACCTGCTGGGCTCCGGTGATCCTTCCGCCTCAGCCTTCCAAGTACTGGAACTATAGGCGTGCGCTACCATGCCCAGCTAATTTTTTATTTATTGTAGAAAAGAGGTTTCGCCAAGTTGCCCAGGCTGGTCTCAAACCCACAGACTCAGACAGTCCACTCGCATTGGCTTCCCAAAGTGCTGGGATTACGGGCTGAGACACCAAGCCCAGAGATTGTATGACATTGTATGGCTTTTAAATATCACGTCTAATTATACACTTCTTGTTTAAATGTCTTCAGATGCCCTTTCTACAGGAGTACAAAATTATTTAATTGTTCTAAAAAGAAAATTAGGAAGGGAAAAAAGAATCTTCAGAGAGCACCAGGGGATGAAGCTGGTGAGGAATCCTAGAAAAAGTTCGGGTTCAGACTCCCAAAAAGGCAGATCACATTGGTGGGGTGGGGATATGCCACCCCTATGTGTGGTGTTTCAGCAGCCCGGGGAGTGCAGTGGACTTGTGTGAATGATCATCAGGACTAGCAATGAGGCAAGAGCCAGAAGAAGCCAAAGCCCCAAACAGCTCTTACAAAACTGTAGAGAAGACCAAATTTGTCTTTGTGACAAACTCTTGAACTCATTCATAGATGCTGCCTCCAGACAGCACTCTATGCTATAAATGTACGCTTTTCCAAATACTCCTTACACTCTCCTTTCCTCGGTGCCTGAATCGTTGCTGTCTTTGCAGAAGAATGAAAGTATCTAACAAAATAATTTACAATGAATTACTAATTGGAGAGAAAGGAGCTCATCATATTCTTTGGGTGGTATTTATGTTTTTAAAAGACAGTCAATACTACGCAGCCATAAAAAAGAACAAAATCATGAACTTTGCTGCAACCTGGATGGAACTAGAGCCAATAATACTGAGTGACCTCTCACAGAAACAAAGATCTGAGTATCACATGTTCTTACTCATATAGCGGACCTTGAACATCCATCGTAATACTATAAAAAAAGAACTGACAGTGGTGGGAAACTATGGGGGGGAGGGGAAGGGAGGTGGGGTAACGGTAGTCAATATCTGTCTGGGGATGGGGAGACTACCCCTTATCAACAAGGGTGCCTGAACGAAGCATATTTGTATACCTAACCCTTAACTGTACCCCACAATATCAAAATAAAAAATATTGATATATTTTTAAAAAAAAGACAGTCATAGAATTGGCAATGCCTAACCCAGAGGGGACAAAATCTTGGAGAAGAATTCCAGCTGGTGTGGCAGGCAACTGGGGAGGTAGAACAGAAAAAGCTTAGTCCTATCCCTAGGGACATCCCATGGAGGTTATCTATTGACCATGTGTTGTAAAAAATGATCTTTTGCCATGGAGTCATCAAAATTATTTTGAAGTGGTATTCATATTATCCACAAAGACCTACAACCTGCATTTCCTCTCTCAGCTCATTTCTGATATTTCAGCCCCGTACTTGATCGCAAAATCTTAAGAGAGTCCCAAGGCAAAAGTGCAGCCAGGTGTAGTGGCTCACACCTGTAATCCCAGTACTTTGAGAGACTGAGGTAAGAGGATTGCTTGAGCCCGGAAGTTTGAGACCAGCCTGGGCAACACAGGAAGACCTTGTCTCTACAAAAAACTAATAATAAAAAAAAATTAGACAGGCATGGTGGCACATGCCTGAAATTCCAGCTACTTGGGTGGCTGAGGCGGAAGGATTGCCTGAGCACAGGAGGTCAAGGCTGTGGTGAGATGTGACCATGCCACTGTATTCCAGCCTGGGTGACAGAGTGAGACCCCGACTCAAAAATGCAAACAACGAAAGAAAGTAACTTACTTGTATAGGCTTGACTTCATGGATAGTTAAAGTCATAAAAACAATCTCCTTTCCCAATTTGGCCATCTGTGAGAGTTGAAACCACCAAGTCCCCATGCAGTTTACTTTGTCAGTTTGATGGGGCCAGAACTCCTTTCACAAAGGGTAAGGCTGTCTCCCTTGCATCTAGTTTAACATGGCTTACTTTTAAATAAATAAGTTTTGCTTGCTAACATATGCTTTTCTCTCACTGTTCTCCCTTTCCTTTCTTGCACTGGCGCTTCTCAGGACAAATGTTGCCTTTCACTTCACCACCAGCCCCTCTCAACCTCAGGTAAGTGAAAGGTTCCAAGAGTGATCCAGCTCCTACCTGTTGGTGTTGCCCCCAAAAAACAATGGTAACAGGTAGAGTCAGTACGTGGTGTTGCCCTTGATTTTTCACAATTTGGGGGTTACATGTGTTCTGGTTTGCTACTCATGTTACTGGGATTTGGGGCACACATTTAATCTTATCACCTTAATGGGTGTAAAATGGGAGGCATGACGTTTGTTTTCAGGTGTTCCTTTGTTTAACCATCAGTGAACAAATCGCGTGCCTATTATACACTAAGCACGTTGTTAGATTGTGCTTGGCGGTAGGGACACAGGGATGGAGAAGAGTGAGACACACTTTCTGCCATTATGGATCTGATAGTTGGGAAGTGGGGCAGGGGAGCGGAACAAGGAGAGGCAGGCTGACACCAAACTGATACACAAATAATTAGTTGACCTGGAAATGCAATAAAAATAAGACAGATTTTTAATTTTTACAATGCTATGAGTGGAATAAATTACTTTCTCCTGTCTTAAAGAAAGAGCCAGAATATAGAAAAAAAGTATTAGGAGAGTTATATTTATTGTACTCTCCATTACATCATCATCATAAATGGAATAAATACATGAAAACTTTTATTAATTCAGGCTGGTTTTTGGTGACATTTCTAGCTACCTTCCTTTCTTTTTTCATAGCTTCTGAAAGAGTAAAGTCTATGCAATATCTTCTTTTTTTTTTTTTTTTGAATCAGCATCTCACTCTGTCACCCAGACTGGAATGCAGTGGCACAGTCACAGTTCATTTCAGCCTCGATTGCCTGGGCCCCAGGAATCCTTCCTGCCTCCGTTTCCCTAGTAGCTGGGATCATAGGCACATGCCACCATACCTGGCTAATTTTTAGAATTTTTTTGTAGAGATGAGGTCTTGCTATGCTACTCAGGTTGGTCTCGAACTCCTGGACTCAAGCAATCCTTCCATCTTGACCTCCCAAAGTGCTGAGATTACCGGTGTGAGTCACCATCACTGGCCCTGCAAAAATAAATTAAAAATGTGTTCATTTATTGTAGATTTTTAATAAATTTTCTGCAGGCTGCAATACAGCTTTGGTCATAAATGGCTACTTCATTTTTGCATTGGATATAGCAAAACTGGGATTAACATTTTATATGAACCTCTTATAACTCAATCACTGGTGTGCTGGTAAATATTTAACTGGTTGTCAGACAGAAAGCCCTGATTTGTAGCATTTGCCCGCCCAATTCTGTGGAATAAATACCTCCACTATGGTTGATTTCAAGCAGCCATTGTGATTTCTTTGAACAGTTGGGAAGTGACTCATGCACAGTTTCCCAAGCCTGTGTGTGAACCAACTCCCACACAATCTTCGATTTGTTCACAAAGCACTAGTTACCAGGTACGATGGGAGACACAAATAAAAGGTGAGAGAACGGCAAGGCAAGTGTGGAGAAAAAGAGGACAAGCCAAGAAAAGGCAAAGAAAGTTTAATTTATTAGAGGGAAAGGAAAGGATGACTGGCCCTAAAGAAGAACCAGCAGCCTATTCTTTTGGCATGTCCCTCTTCTACCCCATAGCTGGGGTCTGGTGGTCACGTAGCAGACGTAGTCCTGAGGAAGAGGTGTTAGTGGTCATGTAGCTCCGAGTCGTGGCCTTGAGGAAGCAGGCTGGCTCTGGTGGTCATGTAAGCTTGAGGATGCAGGTGTTGGCAGCAAAAACAAGATGTCGCTTAAGCAAGCGGGGAAGGAGTGGGGAGGGGTGAGTGGGGGTTGTAGCTCCCTTACAGGAATAACTTTCACTCTAACTACAGGAAGAGCACAGTCTAATAGTCCTGTACAGAGCTACGATATATAGGACATTCTGAATGCCATACACCCTGTACAATATAGCAGAAGAGCTTGTAGACTGAAAAATCAGTGACAGTTCTGTATTACAACTTCTTTTTAATTTTAAAAGGTATGTCAATATTAAAGCCTAAAGAATTTGCATATGAGCTCCAAACAAGTGTGACAATATACTTAGAACAAACTGATAAAACAAAATAAATTCCTTGATGTCTATGAAAGTCTTACTTTACTCTTAACTGTTCCCATTTTGGCCTGTATTTTATATCCACTTTGTTTGTTTGTTTTTGTTTTTGTTTTTTTTGAGTTGGAGTCTCACTCTGTCGCCCAGACTGTAGTGCAGTGGCTGCTCCTGGCCACCGCAACCTTGACCTGCTGGGCTCCGGCGATCCTTCCGCCTCAGCCTTCCGAGTAGCTGGAACTACAGGCGTGCGCTACCACGCCCGGCTAATTTTTTTTAATTTTATTGTAGAGATGAGGTCTCGCCTGCCCAGGCGGGTCTCGAACCCACGGTCTCAGGCAATCCATTCACCTCAGCCTCCCAAAGGCACGGGATTACAGGCTGAGCCACCGAGCCCGGCTTTTACTCTTAACAGTCCCCATTTGGGCCTATATTTTATATCCTCTTTGTTTTGTTTTGTTTTGTTTTGTTTTGAGTTGGAGTCTCATTCTGTCGCCCAGACTGGAGTGCAGTGGCCGCTCCCGGCCACCGCAACCTTGACCTGCTGGGCTCCGGCGATCCTTCCGCCTCAGCCTTCCGAGTAGCTGGAACTACAGACGCACGCTACCACACCCAACTAATTTTTTGATTTATTGTAGAGATGAGGTCTCACCAAGTTGCCCAGGCGGGTCTTGAACCTGCGGGCTCAGGCAATCCACTCACCTCAGCCTCCCAAGGTGTGGGATTATAGGCTGAGCCACCGAGCCCGTTTTATATCCTCTTTGATTACAGAAAAGATTTTCTGTTTCTATTAACTCGCCCAAATGATTGTACATTCTCAGATAACCTGTGTCGATCACTGTCTGCCTATATGCCTGTAGAGAAAAGCAAGTTCCAGAAACTAGGCAGGTAGTCAGAATCAGATGGTGATTTTAGCCTAAATTCCAGCCATTGCTTTGGGTACTTGTCATTTGTTTCTTTCTGGTAAAAGAAGGTTGTCAGAGCAGCAGTCAAAAACATTTACTGCCATTGCTTTGCTAAATTCCTATGTGTCCATGTGGCTCTTGGAGCTACTGCCACCATGTTTCTTAGCTTTGGCCCCCCTCCTATCTTGAGGAGGTGAATTTCTCTATCTCCTCTCTCTTCTCTCTAATTTGCTTTCTAAATAAATTATATTTTCCAATCTAAAAAAACACATTTATTTGGGGTTTATGGTAATTTAGAGAGAATAGTTTGGCATATAGATAAGAATTTAGTAGGTGTTTATTTGTTTGCACAAAACCAATTACCATCATATGTGGGAACATATATGATGTTCAATATTTCTAGTAATAATCATAGAAATGCTCTTGAGTTACACAATATGGTTCTCCGTAGAACCAAGATCACCTCTTGGGAATTCCAATCTATTCATCCTTTGAAGATTATATTATATATAGTATTATATATAATATTAAATATATTATATTAAATATATTGTATTATATATATTTCAGTCAAACCCTGAAATGAAGTGGGTTCTTGGGGATATTGCCATCTGTTATGAGGTGTAAACAGACTTCCAAACAGCATCGTTAATGACACTCTTTAATTTTTTTTTTTTTTTTTTTGAGTAGGAGACTCACTCTGTCACCCAGGCTGGAGTGCAGTGGCACGTTCACAGTCACCACAGCCTCGACCTGCTGGGCTTAGGCAATCTTTCCACCTCAACCTTCCAAGTAACTGGAACCACAAGCATGTACCACCACATCCAGCTAATTTTTTGATTTATTGTAGAGATGAGGTCTTGCCAAGTTACCCGGGCTGGTCTTAAACCCTTGGGCTCAGGTAATCCTCCCACCTCCATCTCCCAAAGTGCTGGGATTACAGACATGAACCTCCAGACTCAGCCGACACTCTTTAATCTTCTTTTTTTTTTTGAGTTGGAGTCTCACTCAGTCGCCCAGACTGGAGTGCAGTGGCTGCTCCCGGCCACCGCAGCCTCGACCTGCTGGGCTCTGGCGATCCTTCCTCCTCAGCCTTCCAAGTAGCTGGAACTACAGGCGTGCGCTACCACGCCCGGCTCATTTTTTATTTATTGTAGAGATGAGGTCTCGCTAAGTTGCCCAAGCGGGTCACGAACCCGCACTCTTTAATCTTGAGATAACTTTTTCCCCTTCAGAAAATTTAGGATTAGGGGGAAGCATTCTATTTTTATTGCCCTGGTTCTCAAAATACGCTTAGTAAAGAGGATGTTGGATTAGAAAATTAAGTTTTAATATGTTTTGCTTGTCTTTTAAAGTGATAGATTTATTAGAGTCAGGATATGGAGCTTGTTTGGGCTGGTTCCCTCAAAATCTTCATCATAAGCTTCTCAACTATTTACCATATTTATAGTAACTTGGCAGACTTCCCCTTTCTTCATCATAAGCTTCTTCAAAATCTTCATCATAAGTTTCTCAGCTATTTACCATATTGATAGTAACGGCAGATTTCTCCTTTCTTCATCATTAGCAACATGTTTACAGCTTAGAGTTGATACAATTTTTCATAACCTAAGTAGTTAAATAGTATAACCTCTTTCAGTTAGAAATGTTTCCTTCCTTATGTAGCCTTAAAAAAAAAAAATTGAAGGCTCCTTATGTAACATTAAAAAAAAAAAAAAAAAGAAAGAAAGAAATGTTTCCTGGCAAAAGGTCTAGGGGAAGGCCTAGTGCTAATTCTTGCCTGTGGGAGGTGGTTAAAGTTCTTGAAGAGCAGGCTTATCTGCTTTTCAACGTGAAGCTTCATACTTCACAATGACCACACAGAAATAAATCTTGTCTCATGTTATGTACCACATATCCCTAATTCAAAGGGGGGTGGGGATGCTCCTTAAATAGGAAATGGAATAAAGTGTAGAAAAGCTTAGTTGAGAAAGAAATGGTCACACCCTAGAGAATGAAATGGCAACATTGCATGAAATGACTACTTTGTCTTATTCAGGGGTGTATTTCTAGTGTCTGTGCAGTTAGTTGCTCAATATGTATGATTAACTCAGATGACTGAGTTAATCAATGGAGATTCATTGAGATTTGCATATGAATTTGATGCCTGATAGTAGAGGAGACAATTCTATTCTTGTGAAAATAAATCATGTCTTTCTTTATCTTATTTTCAGTATTTTCTATACAAGTTTCCCAAAGACGTGGACTCAGTTATCATTAAAGTGGTGTCCGAAATGGCGTATCCATGTTCTGTTGTCTCGGTCCAGAACATCATGGTGAGTCCTGATAATGTCACCCTTCTAATATGGAGTGTTATATTATCCCAGAACAAATGAAAGAGAAGGGTGAGCCGGGCTCGGTGGCTCAGCCTGTAATCCTGCGCCTTTTGGGAGGCTGAGGTGAGTGGATTGCCTGAGCCCGCGGGTTCGAGACCCGCCTGGTTGGCGAGACCTCATCTCTACAATACATCAAAAAATCAGCCGGGCGTGGTAGTGTATGCCTGTAACTCCAGCTACTTGGAAGGCTGAGGCCGAAGGATCGCCGGAGCCCAGCAGGTCGAGGCTGCGGTGGCCGGGAGCGGCCGCTGCACTCCAGTCTGGGCGACAGAGTGAGACTCCAACTCAAAAAAAAAAAAAAAAGAGAAAGAGAAGGGTGAGGACCATGTTATCCTCTTACTATGTATCTCACTCAAAACTACTAAATAATAAGAACAGTATCTGCAAATCTGAGTGGGCAGACTATGTTTGCAGACCTTAATTTGGAAAGACGAATAATGGATGACTCCTCGCCAAAATCAATGAAGGAATGAGGGAAGGAGAGAGGAGGGGAGGGAGAATCATAACAAAGGACAAGGAAGGAAGACCAAGGTGTGGTCTCCACAAGAAAAATAATGTAGAAACTTAGCTTCTGTTCTGTTTTTAAAATTGTATTGTTGCCAGGCATGGTGGCTCACACCCGTAATCCCAGCACTTTGGGAGACCAAAGAGGGTGGGTTGCTTGAGCTCAGGAGTCTGAGACCAGCCTGGACAACATAGTGAAACCTCATCTCTACAAAAAAATAAAAAAAAACATTTGCCAGGCATGGTGGCATGCACCTGTAATCCCAGCTACTCATCTGAGCCCAAGAGGTCAAGGCCGCCCCAGCCTGGGTGACAGAGTAAGACCCCAACTCAAAAATAAAATAGTAACATTGGAACCTCTCTGTCTCAGAGGCATTAACAAAAAAGTGGGGAAAGTGTTATACACTTGACGACAATCTTTTTACAGTACTCTTTAATACAAAGTGACTTTGACTTTAGAGGAGACGGTACCAAGTTGTAAAAGGACAACTTAGTGACTGTTCTGGGGTAAAATTCGTTATGGTTCCCATCACAGTAAGGACGTCCTCCCCCTCAGCTCTGTGAACCAGTTGGAAAGGCGCTACTGGGACCTCTGTGTAGTATGACATGATATGACATTGGGGATGCTTTCCTTTTTATCCTTCATGCATGCTACAGTGCCCGGTGTATGATCTTGACCACAATGTGGAATTTAATGGTGTCTATCAGACCATGACCAAGAAAGCTGCCATCACACTACAGGTGAGACATCGCTTCTGGGGTCATTATCATCAGTCACAATGCTTGGTTAATCATTTATCTACAGAGATAGCATCCAAAAGGAATGCCAATCTGCTGTGCACTTCGGATTTTTTTTTCTCTCTGATTGGTTTGAAAACTAATTTTGCTATGCCTGAAATCAAAGCATGAGTGATGGTAGACAGTGCTTTTCTGCCAGGTGCCCCTTTCTTCTTAGGGCTTCCTGGGAACCCATGGTGCAATGGGACATGTATCTGACAGATTGCCTAGAGTGGTAGAGCCAGAAGATTCCACTCTACTCTTTGGAGGTGCCAATTTAGGTGAAGCTTATCAGATCCACCGAAAGCAGTGAAACATATTCTAATAATCTGTACCAGTAACAGTAAACAAAAGAGGACTGCAACTCTGGACCGAATGGACAGGTTCAAAGGTATATGGATTATATTTGTGAGGCAGTTCAACCTTTTGTTTGTAATTAAATGATTATTTTCCTGGTAATTTTGTACAAAATATCAGCATATTTTTAAAGGAGATTCTGTTCCTGCCTTTGGGGTGGTATTTATATGAGGTACCTGCAACTCGATCTGTTCCCTAGGGTTAGGTGATGCTCTTTATTGAATAACAAACAAAGAATGAAGAGATAATTTAGGTATCAAACATGAAAATTCTATCAATCAGACTTTAATTTTCAAGGACCTTGGATTTGATATCCCAAATATTGTTTTTAGTATTTATTTCTTCCTTAGCACCCCAACATTATATGATCCCAGATGTTAAAAGGACAGAAAAATAACCATAGTAGGGAACTTCAGATTTTACATCATCCAGGACCTAAATTAATAAAGGATAAAGCATTTTAGTACCTGTCCTCTATGGAAGTGTTTGGCAGTAATTTGTTATTAGTCTTTTGGGCCCATGCTTCAGTCCTGGGCTATTTTCTCAGTGAGCCAACCTTGATACCAGAAGTCTGGGGATGAATTTTTGAAGAGACACAGTTGTAGAACTATAATGGACCTTAAAGATCATCTTGTCAAGCATGCTTCACTCATGGATAAGGAGATGGGCACAGAGAAAGTGAAAGATACAATGACATCTCAGGTCTCCAGATTTGAGTCCTTTGCCTTCCTGGCAATTATTTATTTGACTGTGTGAGTTTTAGGAGAGTGATTTATCATTAGATTTTGACTTAAAAACTTAAAATGTAAGCATTAATTATTAAACATAGGCTGTCGATGTATCATAGGGTGCTTATTACAGTTCTAAGCATTTCACTGGGCACAAAATAGATTGAAATCAGAATAGTGTGTCTAATTTCTTGGATGTAGCAATTATCTTAGTGTAGAATAGATTGTGGTGATGTGAAAGTTCTTTCTAAGAAGTTAGAGGGTAGGGTTGAATTTTACTTTTCTTTTCTTTCCTCTTTCTTTCTGTCCCCTGACCCCTGGGACTTTCTCTCTTCTTCTTGCTATACTTTTTTTTTACCTGCCTATCCTAAGGTTGTTATGTCTTATGCAGAAGAAGGACTTACCAGGAGAGCAGTTCTTCGTGGTGTTTGTGGTAAAGCCTGAAGATTATGCCTGCGGGGGATCTTTCATCATCCAGGGTAAGAGCCGGTGAGGACTACTTGGCTACTTAGAAAAACCTGAAGAGAATGAAAGGGAAGCCAAAGCTCATCTCTAACTCTCACTAAGTAAGGGACCATCCACAGGGACTTGGCGAGGCAGTCTGAGTGATAATTTGAGAAAAAACAAAAGGAAGAAAATAATAGAGCCAAAGGTATTGTTGATACTATGAAAAGTCACTTAATACATTTTATCTTTTCAAAGTCTTGTATTCCCTCAGATCACATAAGGTAAGTTTACTCAGTTGACTCTTTACTCAACAAACATGTACTGCAGTGAACCAATTATTTTACATAGCGGATCAAGGTTCATTTCCTAAGATCAGTTTGGTGGCCAGTAGTAATGGAGCCACTTATATTTATCATTTCCACAAGGATGTACAAGAAAAACTTAGAGTTTTCCATTCCAGTTGCTACAATTATATCTCACAAGAAATCCAAGTGTGACAACTTATCCCAATCATAAAAGGGTTGTGTGAGCTCCTAGGCATAATATAAATAGTTAGGGGTAACTGCCCACTAACTACTTTGGGAATGGAACAGGCTGTTGATTGAAACCACCTACTAATGAACTGTATGTGACCAACAGAGAGTACTTACTGCTGAGTGTAACGTGGCTCTTTGTATTTAGGTGAAATTTCTGCGAGTGTGTTCTTTAATCTCTTAGTTACATAGCTCTAGAGTTTTACCAGTATCTAATCCTCCTTGGTAAACTACAAGTCCTTTGATGACTATACAAGGAAAAAAATCTCACCGACTAGAAAAATACAAACCAAAAGAAGAGGTAACTTTCTATTTTTGCAGCTGTTTCCTTCAGATGTCTGTAGATATCTGAAGGGGAAAGGTCAACTCTTCTTCATGGGAGTAGGGAGCTGCAATCTCATTTATATCAGTTAGTGCTACCCAAATGCACCCAAGCAAAGGCCATATTGAGTGTCTTAACCAAGAAGGATGTTAGATGGTCTGAGATTGGGGGTATGGGGAACAGATTGTCCATCAATTCTTGTTAAAATAAGAATCAGCACCTAGAGTAAATTCTGGACATTTTTAGAGCAGCTGTTCAGAAGAGAAGCCAAAAATCTATATCTGATTCATTGTGTGTTGTTCTTTTCTTTTCTCTTTCTTTCTTTTTCTTTCTTTCTTATTTTCTTTCTTTCTTTCTTTCTTTCTTCCTTTCTTTCTTTCTTTCTTCCTTTCTTTTCTTCTTTCTTTTTTAACTAGGAAAGGAGAACCAGACCTGGAATCTTCAAAGAACAAAGAAGCTTCAAGTGACCATTGTTCCTTCGATTAAAAGTCAGTGTTGGCTTTAGAGTGCTGTGGAGAGAATCCTATGTCAGGAAATCTATCCTATAATTCAGTGTCAATGTCATCCTTCCTGAGTGAATCATTATAAGAAGACTAAAGTGTATTTACCTTAGAGATTGAAAAGGGAATCAGAGCATTTTGTTGACTTTTTTCCAAAAAAGTAAGGGAACTCAATTACAATGTTCTACATGAGCAGTTTCTTCCTGGCTTCTGCTGGGAACTCATCACTGTGAAGATAGCCACTTGTGGATAATGTCTGGGTGACCATAAGTAGTTTTGTTGCTTGAATGAAAATTTCTTAGGACTTAAGAATAGGTGTGATGGAGGTGGGCCCTTTAAGTTGTCCTTTTCTCCTAAGGACAACCTGACCAAAGTTGTTTCTCTCCCCTCAGAATCCGTTTATGTGAAATCCTGTGTGTTCAGTGTCTGCATCTTCCTGTCTTTCTACTTGGGATACCTGCTGGTTGTGTTTGTTCATTATGTGAGGTAGGTTAAAAGTTTCAAGAAATGTTAAATTCCTTTGCCTGTCTCTGTGTAGTGATTAGAGCACAGGTTTTAGAGCCAGACTTGACTGGCTTCAAATCTACCTCAGCTACTATGTGGCCTTGAGCAAGTTACTTCATTCTTCGTGCTTCAGTTTTCTCAACTAAATGAGATAATAATTTACCTCATTGGATAGTATCACTGAAGCATTTACATCAATACCATGCACATAGTAAGTGCTAGTAGAGTGTTGGTTATTTTCATAGTCAAGGAAACTTCAACAAAAAGGCAGAAAATACTACAAATCCCACAGAATGTAGGAAGTCGAGATTTAGAAATAACTTTAAACATTCTATCAAAAAGTAAATTTAATGCCTAAAATAAATCTTGAGGTGCGATAAACAACAGGAATAATATGGTTTGATACTATATTATCAGGTGCTTTTCTGCTGTTATAGCATTAATTTTCTAGTAAAATGTCCTTTGGGTAAGAGAGAGAGAGAGAGAGAGAGAGAGAGAGAGAGAGAGAGGATTGTGCTATAATCTGACCAAGGAAATCTCCTTTTCCAAGAGTTCGAAACCCCAACCAAGAGTCTTCCCTTGCCCCTCCCAGCAGGACTGAATCTTGAGAATTCTGATCTTTCTTGCACTGTCTGTGAAACAACAACAAAAGAATGGCAAGAGGTTTACAATAAACAAAAGATATTTCTCTTCTTGAACATGCAAAGAAAGCAAAACCAGCATAGAGTTTTGAGACTATTTGAAAAGATTAACTCCTTCTGTAGAAAGACCTTGTGCCGATCTCAATAATACAACTACATAATCTTTATGATATAGGCCTATCTCTGACTCAAAAATTAACTCCTGTGACTTTTGTGATGCTTCTGGATTGACCTACTACCTTCAAAAACAGTAGATGACTCCTGGCCAAATATGGAATAATTTGAGCACTAAAATTATTGAGAATAATCAATTATAAACCATTGGGGACAAAAATGGAAATTAGCGAGTCTGTATTGATAAAGAAAGGTAGTACCTAAACACCTGCAGATACAAATCCAGTGAACTCAAATTTGCTAAGACAGGTAGGTAGCCATTAGGGAAAGAAGCCATTAGCAAATACTAATAATAGAAGGGAGAACTCTTGCCTACAGCCAAATGCCAAGAGCTGACTGCTAAAAATGAGAAAGTGCTGGAGTTGGAAAAATAATCATTTTGTAAACACTAGAGTAAAGACTAGATCAGGCTAAGAACCATCAATGGATGCTAAATCTAGAGGTGGGAATCTGGTAAGAATCAAGATGTTTGCATGGCCTTAAAGTCTTATGAATTGCTTAGTAGTTGTAAGCAAAATAATAGTAAATATGCAGTGGAGAATCAAACACGTTGACTGGGTGATCAAAATTAGTATCACTGAGGCCAGGATGGACTTTGTATGCCTTCAGATTGACAGCCTGAGAAGGACACAATATCACTTGTGCAGCATTCCAGAAATGCATACCTTGAATCTGATCATGTAAAAAAATTAGACAACACCAAATAACAAAATGTATCATGAAAGACTACTTCTTGGCTGGGCCATGTTTCCTGGTTTTGGCCTACCTTGAGGAGGTGAATCTCTCTTCTCTCTCTCTCTCTCTAATTTGCTTTCTAAATAAACTATATTTTCTAATCTTAAAAAAATGACAACTTCTATGGAAGTCTATTAAAAATAATACCTGATCTCGACCAGGCATGGTGACTGACTTTAATCCCAGCATTTTGGGAGGCTGAGCAGGAGGACTGCTTCAGACCAGGAGTTCAAGACAAGTCTGACAAAATAGTGAGACCTCTTCTCTACAAAAAAAAGTAAAAAGTTAGTCAGGCATGGTGGCATATGCCTGTAGTTCCAGTTACTCAGGAGAGCCTTGATCATGCCACTACATTCCAGCCTGGGCAACAGATTGAGACCCCTAACTAAAAAATAAAATAAAATAAAACACTCTGATCTTAGACAAGGTCTTGTACTAGAAGAAAAATATACTAAAAGGACATTATTATCCACATGCGGTGGCTCACACCTATAATCCCAGCAATTTGAGAGGAAGAGGCAAGAGGATTGCCTGAGCCCAGCGGTTCAAGACCTGCCTAAGCAAATTGGCAAGACCTTGTCTCTACACTAAATCAAAAAATTAGTCAGGCATGATGGTGCACGTCTGTAGTTTCAGCTACTTGGAAGGCTGAAGTGGAAAGATCACCTGAGCCAAGGAGGTCGAGGCTGTGGTGGCCGTGAGCATGCCAGTGTACTCCAGCCTGGGCGACAGAGTGAGACTCCAACTCAAAAAAAAGGACATTATTGGGTCAACTGATAAAAGTGAGGTAAAGATAGTAGATTAGATAAGAACATCGTATCAATGTTAATTTTGCAGAATTTGATAGCCATATTGTGGTTATGTAAGATAATATATTTATTCTTTAGAAATATTAAGGGATAAAAGTCCATGATATATGCAACTTACTTTCAAATGATCCAGAAAAATTCATATATATAATATATATCTTGCTATATACATATATAATATAAATATGAAGAGAAAGAGAGGGAATGGTAAAGCAAATGGGGTAATATGCTAACAACAGGTGAATTTAGGCAACGGGTATATGGGTGTTCTATGTTCTGTTCTTATTCTTACAATATCCCTGTAAATTTGAAATTATTTTCAAATAAAAAGTTAAAAAAAAAAACCCCAGGCTACAGGCAAATATTATACCTGGAAAATGTATATATTAACTGATTAATAGTTCAATGGATTTATCAGATCATAGTGGTTAACATTTAATAAGTTCCCACTCTGTGCCAAGTGGTGTACTGAGCCCTCTAAGTAGATTATCTTATCTGATACTCCCACCCCAAGACGAGTGGGTGCTATCATTCTCAACATGTGACAGTTAAGGAAATTGAGGCAAGAATACACAGCCAGTAAATCAAGGAGCTAGGAATTGAACACAGGCAGCCTAGTTCCAGAGTCTTAGGTCTGATGCAGGCTGGTCGATATGGGTCTAGAGTGGTCAGGGCATGTGAGGGAAGACAGCTCTGACCAAATAGACTGGACCAAAAGCCTGGCACCCAGCAAATATCTGATTCAAAAGGGGCTCCAAAAGCTTCAACTTTGTCTTAGATGAGCTCCAATGTCATGGAAAAGAAGCTCCTCTCTTCTGCCTCTCATAGGAAAACTGTCCCTACTTCTGAATTGTTTTTAGAAGAGAGGATCATGCCTCTTTAGTTAGCTATCATATGCATAGTTAACATAAAAATACACACAAAATTAAGGTAATATAGCTGGTTATCAGTCTCCCTACAATTGTTACATAGCCAAGTGAAGCAAGCACAGTTTTTGAAAGTTGTGGCATAAGGTTCTGTTGAAACTTTTAACTTGCAGATTCTGTTGCTACAGTCAAATGCACAGCATACATTTCCTTCCAGATATAGACAAACTGGAAATAGAAATCTGAAGACATAAGAACTGAGAAAAAATGCGAATAGGAAAACTTTCCTTCATTAAAATAACAGTTTTCTATAAAACCCTCTGAAGCCAGTCCTCTCAGCATAATGCCATTTGTTTGATAAGTCCCCTATACCTTATTATAAGCACATATGAGATTTGTAATACATGCTACAAGATCGATGGAAAACATCAATATGGGGCATAGCCTCTGCCCTCAAGAAGCTGAGAATTCAAAGTGTCTTTATGTTGTATTGGTCTGAGCCTAAACACTATTTTCTTCTCATTCTCTAGTCCCAGTTTATTCAGCAAGCATTTATTAAGTCCCCTGCAAAAATGTGCTGACCTCGGACCAAGCCTTGCATTCGTGTTCTCTTATTTGTTCTTCTCAACCTACCGGACATTGAGTTCAAACTGTCCAGTCCTGAGTACTTATCCTTCCCTTTGATTCTTGTATTAGCTATCCATTGCCACAATAATGCTACATTAGGAAACACCACAAAATCTCCAGGTGCAAACAGCAATAAATATTTGTTTGCTCATAAATCTATGAGTCAGCAGGATGGTTCTGCTAATCTGGGCTGAATTCAGGGATGTCAGCTGAGTATGATCATAGAGTATGACCTGCTGGCAGATCAGCAAGGAGCTGTCTCTCAGTCTGTCATCCTCCAGCAGGCTAGTGTGGAATTATTTGTCTCCATGACAGATAGCAGAAAAGTATAAGGCCTTAAGATGTAGGGTTAGAAGTAGTAGCACATTATTACTTCTCCTTCATTCTACTGGCCAAAATAAGTCCTGAGGCAGGTCCATACTCAGGAGATGAAGATGGAGATGCCAACTTTTGATTGAAGGAACTAGATACAAGAGGAAGTGCAGCCTTAATCTAGTATAGTTCTCTGTCCTTTGGCACAATCTGGGCCCCTCATCTGGGCTCTGCTGGCTTCACAGACTCATCAGTGCTTGCTGGATGAATGAATGAGGGCTCTTTGGCAAAACCCTTCCTTTTAGTGGACAGAGCTATTTTAAGATCTCTTCTAGGTTCTAGCTTGGCATTTCCATACCATATTGCATCAAACATATTAAAAGGCACCCACATGCCTCATTAAGTAAAATGTACGTATAACTACAAGAGCGGAGTTGAGATGCAATGGACTGGTTGACTACTGTTATGTTCTGCAGGCATTTAATTAAACATGTATTCATGTTGAAAAAAAATCTAGTATCGTTCTCATTTGCTATTTTTCCCTTTTTTCACTGAATACTGCCTGCCTTATGTAGCTTTGGAGATCATTTAACTCCTCTAATGAACTGTATCCATTCCAAAACCGAGTGCAAATGTGTGTAAAGCCTGTTAATCCAAACATATAATCCAAACACATCATCTTCTGAGTCCATTTAATTACTTGCCAGTCACTATCACTAAAATGTCAAAAAGGATCTTCATCACAACCTCATTTGCCAGCTAGAACAGTCAGGCCAAATCATAACTGCTCTCTGTAATGATGTGCTTTGTTCAGCTGACAAATGTTTAGTGATCATCTCCTATGTGCCAGCTATGTCCTAGAGGTTAGAGATACAAGAGTAAACAAAACAGTCTAGATCTCTGCTTTGATAGAGCTTACACACGAGCAAATTGTCAAGGAGAGGAACACATGAGCAAATTGACAGGAGGAAAAAAAACATAGTGGTGTGAAAGAGAATGGTTGTATAGGGGAAGCTACTTTAGATTTGATTTGGTCATCAGAGAAGACCTCTCAGAACCAAGACCTGAAAAGCAAGAAGGAGCCAGTCATGTAAGGATCTGGGCAGACAGTGGCCCAGGCAGAGAACAAGAGCAAATGCCCCGAGGCAGGGGTGATTCTAGTGTGTCTAGGTACAAAAGAGGTATAAAGAGAAATTCTTCTACCATACATGCCAGGATCAGAGTATGCAATTTCTAGGGCCCCAGCTGGAAGTAAATAAGAGCTTGTACCAAAATATGAATTCTTCTGGCCCCCAATCACTCTCCCTCACTCCTCCAGCCTCATTTTGGGGAAAAAAAAGGATAATTTAAATTTTAATTTTCATTAGACCTTCACAAATGATATATCAGGTTTGTTAATAACAACTTTAGGTCAGGTATAGTGGCTCACACCTGTAATCCCAGCACTTTGGAAGGACGAGACAGAAGGATTGCTTGAGCCCAGGAGTTTGAGACCCACCTGGGCAACATAGTGAGATTACATCTCCACAAAAAATAAAAAATAAAAAAATTAGCCAGGAGTGGTGGCACATGCCTGTAGTCCTAGCTACTCAGGAAGCTGAGGCCATGAGGTTGAGGCTGTAGGGAATCATGATCATGCCACTATTTACCAACCTGGGCAACAGAGTGAATCCTGACTCAAAAAAAAAAAAAAAAAAGCTCTATTGAGATATTATTCATAGACTATAAAATTTACTCCTTTAAGTACAATTCAGTGATTTCTAGTATATTCGCATTTTCACAACCATTACCGTTATCTAATTTCAGAATATTTTCATCACCTCAGAAAGAAACCCTGGCCTGGCGTGGTGGCTCACGCCTACAGTTCATTGATTTTCAACAAACCTATCAAGACAATTCAATGAAAAAAGGAAACTCTTTTCAACAAATGGTGCTAGGACAACTAGATATCCACATAAAAAAGAGTGACATTGTACCCTACCTCACACCACCTATGAAAGTTAATACAATGTAGATTAAAAACATACGTATAGGAGTCAAAACTAAAACTCTTAAAGAAAGCATAAGTATAAATCATAAACTTGTATTAAATAATAGTTCCTTAGACACCAAAAGCACAAGTAACAGAAGAAAAAACAGATAATTGGATTTCATAAAATGACAACCTTTGTGTTTTAAAGGAAGTGAAAATATCAATCTATAAAATGGGAGAAAAATATTTGCAAGCCATATTTCTATCTAGTAAGAGTAAAGTATTCAGACTATATGAAGCATTCTTAAAACTCAGTGATAAAAAAGACAAAGGGTTTAATAATAGATATACAAGTGGCCAATACTCATATGCAATGATGCTCAACACCATTAACCATTAAGGCAATGCAAATCAAAACTACAATGAAATATCACACATACTAGGATGGCTATAATAATTTTTTAATGGAAAATAATGAGTTGTCAAGAATGTGGAGAAATTGAAACACCCACAAATTACTGGTTAAAATATGACAGCCATTTGCAATACAGCCACCATGGAAAACAGTTTAGAAAAAAAAAAGTTGTGCATAGTTATCTCATGCCCAACAATTCTACTAGGTATTCTTGATTCAGAATGCTAATATTCTTAGTATCTCACTCAGGAGAAATGAAAACATATGCTTACACAAAAACTTGCGTAAAAATGTTCATAGTACTGTTATTCATGATAGCTAAAAAGTAGAAACAGCTAAAATATTCAAGTACAAACATATAAATGAAATGTGGTATATCCATACAAAGGAATATTATTCAACCATAAAAAAGACCAAAGCACTGGTACATGCTATAGCATGTATGACTCTTGAAAACATGCTAAGTGAAAGAAGCCAGACACAGAAATTCACATATAGTATGATTCCATTTATGAGAAATGTCCAGAATAGACAAATTTATTTAGACAGAAAATATGGATTTGTGGTTGCCAGGGGTCGGGGGATTGGAGAATGGGGAGTGACTGCTACTGGGTTTGGGATTTCTGCTGGAGATGATGAAAATGTTCTGGATTTCAGTGGTAGTGGTAGTTATACAACTTAGTGAACATACTGAGACTCACTGAATTGTGAACTTTGAAGGGTGAATTTTATGATACATGAAGTGTATCTGTAGCTTGATGAGTATATGAATGATGTATATGCCAGAGAATGAAATTGCTGGGACATATGGTAACTCCATCTTTAACTTTTTGAGGAACCGTCAAACTATTTTCAAAGTGATGACACCATTTTACCTTCCCACCAGCAATGTATTGGGGTTCCAATTTCTCCATATCCAGAGACCCATTTTTAAGAGACCCTGGCAGACAAATTTGCAGCATACTCTACAGAGAACAATGTAAAATGCTGAGGTTTTCGCTGTCTTAGGAGCATGTATATGTGCTTGTTTGCAGGTTTCAGAGAAAATCCATTGATGGAAGCTTTGGTTCCAATGATGGTAAGAACAATCCCTGGTTTTAATTCAAAATGATGTCAATTTCACATATGAATTCTAATGAGGAAAAAAGGGCCAGGTATGGTGGTTCACACCTGTAGTCCTAGCACTTTGGGAGGCCAACAAGGGAGGATTGCTTGAGCCCAGGAGTTCAGGACCAATCCAGGCAGCATGGCAAGACCTTGTCTTTACAAAAAAATTTTTTTGAAAAATTAGCTGGGCTTGGTGGCACACACCTGTAGTCCCAGCTACCCGAGAGACTGAGGCAGAAGGATTGCTTGAGCCCAGGAGTTGAAGGCTGCGGTGAATTGTGATTGTGCCACTGCACTCCAGCCTTGGGCGACAGAGTGACGCCTCAACTCAAAAAACAAACAAACAAAATGATGTCAAGTAGTGTGGCAACATCCCATTTGGTGTTTCTTTTTTCACTTTGCCTTTTGCAATGTACAAACCCTCCTTTGATTCCTATCCCACAGAGTCTTTCTAATCTGCAGTCTTTCTATGGAAAGCAGAGCAAGAGCTTACATCAAAAACTTTTTCTTGGAGTGTCCCTTGTAATTATATACACACCACTAGTCAGGTGTTCATCTTTTTTAAAAAGTTTAATCTTTTCTAGAATGTAGTTGTTCATACCTGTCTTATCCCAAAGCTGATTTGTGAACAACAGCAAGAATGTATTGTGTCAAGTTTATTTTTCCCAAACTGAGATCAAGGCTTAAGTATCTAGAAAACAGAAATATTTGAGACTAGGAAGTATAATAAAGAGTATAAAAATTTGGGGGAATTCAGAGTAATTATACATCCACCCATTGTGATATGCCCCTTCCTCCACTCTGAGAGATTGAACAAAGAAATTCAGTCGCCTAATCTTTAAAACAAAACTTAAAAATGTAAATGTCCTCATTTTTGAAAAGCCTAAATTAGCGTAAGTTACTCAGTGCTTATAAGCTATTTGGCATACAGTAAGAATTTGGAAAAGAAATGAAGTAGGACTTGATTTTTAAGTCACTCGTAGCAGATGTTTAGTTCTGTGTTTTCCACACTTAAATGAGTCCACAGAATCTTAGAAAGACACAAACTACCCCACCCCCACCCAGCAGGAACATTTCTCCCTTTGCTGGAGAGTTTACTTCTTCCTCTTTTTTTTTTTTTTTTTTTTAACATTTGTCTTCCTTAATGTCAGCATGTCTATTTTTCCAGCCACCCAGGCACTTTGTTTTAATAAACATTCGGCTGCCAATATAAAAGACTGTAAAAGAACACCTGCTCTTGTGGCTTTAAAATGCGAAGTACTACTTTCCATTTTAGTCGTAAAATTTTTAAATAAATTTGTCTTCTTTCTAGATCTCATCTTTTTTCCTACAGTGCTCACAGGTTTTGCTTTTATTTTAGTCCTAGTTGAACTTAGACCTAAATTCAATTGGTTGGATCCCACGAGTACCCTCTGAATGGATGATCTATTATTTTTTATTGTATGAGCAAAGTCATTTTAGTATTGTAATAATAATTAAAGGAATTCCATATCTAGAAAGGTCTCTTGAACACTGAAGTATGAGTGAACAGAACTGGAGATTGAGCCAGATCATTGTCCAGGGTCAGGAATGCTCTAAAAACTACCTAAAAGCTACAGGATCCTTCAGACAGCAGGCAAGTGAGTGACCAAAGAGAGTTAAGATGTATCAGTAGGATTCATATGGCTGCAAGTAACTGCAACAACAACAACAATAACAACAGCAATCTCAAACATGCTTAATCAATAAAGAGGTGCCTATCCCTGAAAGTTGAGCAGAAGGATGAACTTTGGGACTGATGACATCCAGTAGCTCTGGCCCACTTCCCTGAAATTCCCTTAGCTCTGATTTACCACCAGGTCTGGAAGTGAGTTGGGTCAAAGCTCACACCCTCACCTGACAGCATCAGAGGGAAGGAACCTCTCCTCATGTTCCACTGGCCTAGAGTGGATCATATACTTATTGTTAAACCAGTCACTGCAAAGGAAGAGATGGACCTGCACAGGAAACAAATGTACTTTTAGTGTCAACGTTATTGAATTGCAGGTCAGATAATTCTTTGGTTTTAGAGGCTATTCTGTACATTATTGGATGTTTAACAGCATCCTTCCTTTCTGGGCACGAGGTTCCAGTAGTACACTCTCTCCTGTCGTAGCTAAAAATGCCTCCAGACATTGCCAAATGTCTTCGTAGGGGCAAAACTGTCTCCCCTCCTTTCTTTGCTTGAGAACCACTGATTGAAACACATCAGCTGCCAGGTACAATTGAGGACACCTGAGCAAGATGCCAGCTTGGTTAGGAAGCAGGGAATAAAAACGTTCATCACAAAGGGCTTTAAAACAGGAAGAAAATAAGCAATCTTTGTAATGCAGAGAGACCACACCACCTCCAATTTCACATGACCACTAGTGAGCCAAGACTTGGATGCTTAAAACAAGAGTAGGAGAAGACAAGCTCTGCCCAAGGAAAGAACCGGTTAGTGACTTTTTTAGACTTATCGAACAGAACACTGAGGAACCAGCTGGGAGCAAGAAACAGAGGCAAGTAAAAACCATATCTGAAAGCTAATGTGAGACATTTAGGGGATGAGTCTTTGGAGTGGAGGAAGGATTCAGAAATTTCTTCCTCTCCTAAGGCCAGGATCTATATGACCGTGGAGGGCAGGAAGCTCCATGAGGCTCAGAGCTACAGGAAATGCCCTGGGTGTTGTCTCCAGAGAAAATACTAGAAGCCCCACCTCTGAAAGGAGGTGGGGCACTTGATTTGACTTGATGTCTGCCTACATCACTGTGGCACTAGATATCTAAGAAACTTGGCCTAATGCTTTCACCTTGGGTATGATTGAGGTGGAGGAAATGGAACCAGGTCCTTATAAATTGCCAAATTTCCAGCAGCTCTGTTTGAGTTTGGTAATGATAGGAAAGACTGCATTCAGAAAACCTGCAGGCATTTGTTTGTTTTTTGTTTTGTTTTACATGCCTGCAGTTATTTAATTAAACTGTATTTTCAAAATACAGACATTGCTATATGTCTTCTTAGGGGCAAAACTGTCTCCCCTCCTTTCCTTGCTGGAGAACCACTGATTGAAACACATCAGCTGCCAGGTACAAGTGAGGACACCTGAGCAAGATGCCAGCTTGGTTAGGAAGTAGAGAATAAAAACATTCACCACAAAGGGCTTTAAAACAGGAAGAAAATAAGCAATCTTTGTAATGTAATTTGTTCCAACAACACTAAAAAGCAAAAGGATTTTCTTTCATACTTCTTGGGATGAAGAAAGAGATAAGACCCTGGATGAGGTGGAGACAGTATTGGTAAAGATCTGCTCCAGATACCTTGAAGGGACTTTTTTCCTGTGGTATGAATGACTGGACAATACATTCTGTAATCATCACTTAATACCAAAGACAGGGACCTTCGTGAGAATCTGAGGAATACTAAGAAAGTCTCTACACTCTAAAAACCTTTCCTCCACTGACTCTGTCAGCAGAGAAACCCCACATCATTGTTAAGAAGCCTCTACAGAAATTTGGTGACCAACTGAGAAGACGAATGAAGCCTCTCCCTTAAGCCTCTGGGATCGCATGAGCTGCCACCATGAGCTTAGGTTGACCGTAGATGGAGATTTCTTTCTCAAGTGAGGGAGTTTAACAAGCCTGAGAAGGTTGTAGATTTAAGAACCAAATGGCCAACCCAATCCTTTTCTTGATAGAGCCATTACTGAATCAGCTTCTTGGCAAAAAGCAGGGGCTGGTGGAGATAAGACAAGGAGAGTGTTGAGTTTGGAGGACTCAAGGACCACAGGCCAATCTGTGGCAAGGGTCTTGAATTCTAGTCCTGGCTCTCTATACTTCTTCCAAATTTCTTTGACCTTCCTTGCCCTTTTTTTTCCTCCTAGAGGTACATCCCTCTGTAAAGATTAATGGTTTTCTCCATTTTCTCAACTTCTGAAACAAAACATGAGGCTAATTGGGGTAGATAGCCAATTGGTATAAAAATGAAATTTCGTAGCAGCTAATTCATATCATTTCTGACTCCCTCATCAGCTTCCAGCCTCCTGAGGCTTCAGAGACAGAAGAGAGCAGAGCAACTATAAATATAAGTCCCTGAAAGACCCAAACATGCTCAAAATGAAATGAAAATTTTCACTTCACATAAGGCATTTGACATATAAAGCAAGCATGAAGGCATATCCTGTCCTATGTGAGTGAAGTTGACAGATGCAAGCGACTCATGCTCAGAGAAAAACATACCAAAACAAGTTTCCTCATTAAGATGAGATCATTCACAATCTCACATGTCTGCTATTCCCAGCCAGAACATCTCAGCCTGTCCTATAAATGGATATTTTGTGTTTAATTCTGCTTTCTCAATACTATACAGTTAAAAATAGATATGGCCTTGCCTTCCAAGATCATACTTGAAGTTTGGAAGGAAATGCTTCGGTTTTTGCATTCTTTACAAGGCCTTAGACATAAGCACAACTAAAAGAATACCTTTGTCCCCTGTTGGCCAATCTCATAGTTAAATTGTGCATATAAAAGTCTGCAGAGCCAGGTGTGGTACTCATGCCTAAAATCCCAGCACTTTGGGAGGCCGAAGTGGGAAGAATGCTTGAGCTCAGGACTTCAAGACCAGCCTGGGCAGCACAGCGAGACTTCGCCTCTACAAAAAAAATTTTTCAAACATTAGCCAGGCATGGTGGCATGCACCTGTAGTCCCAGCTACTTGGGAGGCTGAGGCAAAAGGATTGTCTAAGCCCAAGAGGTTGAGGCTGTGGTAAGCCATGATCATGCCACTGCACTCCTGCCTGTGTGACAGAGTGAGACTCCAACTTAAAAAAAGAAAAAAAAGCCCACAGAGTTAGAATATTTTTGTGTACTGGCCCTTGTACTACATATGAAAATCTTAGTCTCTTGTCCACCACATACCCACAGTGCTGCAGTTGCCTCACAATGAATCCGGCCAACAACTACACCAAAGCCAGGTCATGCTCAGTTATGAAAACAGATATCAGTGATTCGTCCAAGTTTGAGCAGACCCACACAGCTGGCTTTTTCTTTTTCATGAATTTGTCACCTAACAAAACAGTGATTGTTTTGTTTGTTCGTTTACTTTGATTTTAGTTTTTGTTTCTCTTTTTTTTTCTGTGTCAGAGTCTCACTTAGTCACCCAGGCTGGAGTGCAGTGGCACGCTAATGGCTACTGCAGCCTCGACAGTTGGGTTCAGGTGATCCTTCCACCTCAACCTCCTGAGTAGCCGAGACTACAGGCACACACCACCACGCCCAGCTAATTTTTTGATTTATGATGGAGACCAAGTTGCCCAGGTTAGTCTTAAACCCCTGGGTTTATTGCTCAGGCAATCCTCTCTCCTCTGCCTCCCAAAATGCTGGGATTATAGGTGTGAACCACCATTTCTGGCCCTAGTTGTTTTTTTTTTGTTGTTGTTGTTGTTGTTTTGTTTTGTTTTGAGTTGGAGTCTCACTCTGTCACCCAGGCTGGAGTACGGTGGCATGCTCACGGCCACCCTAGTGTCAAACTGCTGGGTTCAGGCAGTCCTTCCACCTTAGCCTTTCAAATAGCTGGAACTACAGGCACCCACTACCATACCTGACTAATTTTAAATTTATTATAGAGATGAGGTCTCGCCAAGTTGCCTGGGCTGGTCTTGAACCCATGGGCTCAGGCAATTCTTTCACCTCTGCCTCCCAAAATGCTGGGATTACAGGCTTGAGCCACCATGTCCAGTCTATTTTTGTTTTTAATTACACACACACTGGCTTCCATGAATCATTTCAATCCTTTGCCACAATGGAACTCAAGCATTTTTCTACACACACGTCTACTTCTCATATCAGAGTGCTTTCAGGAACACCAAGATGGCAAAAATTTTAAAGTTTTATGAACTTTTTCATTTGCTATTTGCTATTTGCATGTTTGATAATTTTTTAAATCACTTTTTGAACAAGAGACATAGGTTATGGTTAAAAATATGGAACTTTGACTGGGCGCGGCGGTTCTTGCCTGTAATTCCAGCACTTTGAGTGTCCAAGGCAGGAGAAATGCTTGAGCCCAGGAGTTTGAGATCAGCCTAGGCAACATAGTGAGACCTCAACTCTACAAAAAATTAAAAAATCAATTGGGTGTAGTGGTGTGCACCAGTAGTTTTGGCTATTCAAGAGACTTAGGTGAAAGAATTGCCTGAGCCCAGGAGGTCGAGGTTGTGGTGAGCCATGACAGTGTCACTGCACTCCAGCCTGGGCAACAGAGTGACCAACTGGAAAGAAAGATAGAAAGGGAGAAAGAGAGAGGAAGGGAAGGAGGGAGGGAGGGGGGTTAAGCTTGAAAAGAAAAGAATGTGAAAGATACTGAGAGAAATGTAAAAGACCACAAAATCACCCAGGAACAAGACCAGTGGAAGGGTTACCACAATACTCTCTGCAATGAACTAAACAGAAAGAAGATGCAGCATGACCCTACCCCAGCAGGGAGTCATTGGCAAGCAGTAGCAGCTGATCCGAAAAGCGAATGTGCTTACTTTTAAAAATATGAGTTTATTTGCCAGACGCAGTGGCTCACACCTGTAATCCCAGCATGTTGGGAGGCAGAGGTGAAAGGATTGCCTGATCCCACAGGTTCAAGACCAGCCTAGGCAACATGGTGAGACCTCATCTCTACAATACATTAAAAAATTAGCGGTACGTGGTGGCGCATGTCTGTAGTTCCAGCTGCTTGGAAGACTGAGGCAGAAGGATTACCTGAGCCCAGCAGGTCGAGGTTGTAGTGGCCGTGAGCGTGCCACTGCACTCTAACCTGGGCAACAGAGTGAGACTCCAACTCCAAAAAAAAAATGAGTTTATTAAAGTCGAGATGCAAATGAGTGTTGACCTTCTTGTCTCTTCTGAAAGATATTCTTGAACCTACATGAAAGAAGCACATTTGCTGCCAGTTATTCATATCTTGAAGGAAAATGTCCTTGCCTTTTTGTTTTCAATTAAGAAGCTACATTTAGTGGTATATATGCGTAACGGAATACTATTCAGTCTTTAAAAATGAGATACTGTCATTAGCAACATGTCCTTCATGGATGAACCTGGAAAACATTATACTAAGTGAAATACACCAGATACAGAAAGAGAAATACTACATGATCTTACTTACTTATATGTGGAATCTTGAAAAAAAGTCGATGGCGCAGCACCATGGCTACACCTGTAATCCAGCACTTTGGGAGGCCAAGGCAGGAGGATTCCTTGAACCCAGGAGTTCGAGACTAGCCTGAATTACATAGTGAAACCTCATCTCTACAAAAAATTTAAAACATTAGTCAGATGTGGCAGCGCATACCTGTAGTCCCAGCTACTCAGGAGGCTGAGGTGAAGGATTGCCTGAGCCCGGATGTTGAGGCTGCTGTGGACTGATTGTACTATTGTGTTTGCACCTTGGTGACAGAGTAAGACACCAACTTGGAAAAAAAAAAAATCAAATACAACAAACAGGAAGTAGAACAGTGAATACTGGGGGAAAGGAGCTGGAGAAAAGAAGGAGGTATAGGTCAAAGGATACAAGCTCGCAGCTATCTGTGGTAAATAATCTAGAAATCTAGTGTCCAGTAGGAGGGCTATAACTAATAACATTGTATTCTAACTTGAAAATCTACTCTACTTGAGAGTAGATTTTAGGTGCTCTTACAGCAACAAAGAAGAGGTAACTGTGGCTGGTGATGGATATGTTTATTTGCTTAGCGGTAGCAATCGTTTCACTATGTGCACATACATAAAAACATCATGCTGGGTAGGCATGTGGCTCATGCCTGTAATCCCAGCACTTTGGGAAGCCAAGATGGGAGGATTGCTTGATCCCAGGAGTTAGAGACCAACCTGGGCAACAAAGAGAGACTGCATCCCTACAAAAAAAAATAAAAAATAAAAAAATTAGCCAGGTGCAGTCCTATAATTCCAGCTACTTGGAAGGCTGAGGTGGGAGGATCATTTGAGCCCAGATGACTGAGGCTGTGGTGAGCCATGATCATGTCATTGCACTCCAGCCTGGGCGACAGAGTGAGACCCCAACCAGCGACAGCCTTGCCTGCTGAGAATGCTGCATTAGCCAAAAGGCTTGCTGTCCAGCTGAGCTACCAAAGAGAAAGGAAATCAAATCTCCAAAGCCATGACGTTAGCCTCTCATTGCCTGGCTGAATGTTTTGAGCTTAGGTTTTAGTTTTTCTTCTTCATGGAGGAAAATAATGGACACACAAAGAGTAAAAAAATAAACAAAATATGATAAAACCTACCAAGTTGGCTTGCAATACTGAGTCTTTTCACCACCCACCAATGGAAATGAAATCTGAGAGGTAGATGAGGAAGGAGAGCTGACTGTGACAACCTAGGAACTGCTTGACATTTTGGTTCTCTCACGGGTTATGCACTGTCGCTTTCATGTAAATTATTTACTTGAACTTTATTTTCAATGAAGGAACAGAAATATATGTATAGCGAGGCTATTTTAGAATATTCTCAGTTATGTTCTTTGACTGAAAATGTTTTCCTGCACTAGTACAAGAGACTGACAAGTTAACTCACAGACTTTTTTGTTTGGCATGTGATACGAGCAATCTCACTTCTCAGAAAGAGGATGTTATTGAAATTCCCACCAGCCTGACAACATACCAGATCCTTAGCAAAGCTTGGAAGGCACTGAAGACATGTCTTCATGCATTTCCTTAGATGAGTGTTACCCCTGGAGATATGGGGACACTAAATCAGAGTCAGAGACACTGCCTAGATGCTGCGAGTTTGTGGTTTCTGCTCTCTTTGTTCAGTTCAGCTTAATTCTCAGAAATGGATAAACTCAAGGGACAGCATCTTGCCTAATAATCAGTAAAAAGGCTGGGAGTTATTTTTATCTGATGCTTGTGATGGAGTGGCTTCAGAGACACTCCCAGATTTGCAGGACTGTGTGCTCACTCTCCAATGAAGGAATACTTCATTGGAAAAGTTGGAGGAACATTATCTTAGAGTCTGTTTGTCTCTCACTGCCAACAATTGGCAACAGATACACCTGTTCTACCTCCCAACTATCCATCAAAATAAACCATCTTCCTCTATATCCTTAGTTCATTTTATCATCATTTATTGCTCCAATGAGTGCACTAACATTCTTCCTATCTGGGCTTCCTGCCTATAGTTAGAGTACTGCTAAATGTTATAATAAATTAACCTCCAAATTACAGTGGTTTCTTAATAGGAGTTTATTTCTGGTGTTTTTGTGCAATGGTGGCTTCCCTCCAGTAGTTCCAGACTCTGTTCTTGTAAAGAGAAAACCGTCAGGCAGAAATCAGCTATTTTTTTAAAGGGCCAAATAGTAAATGGGTCACACAGTCTCTGTCACAATTACCCAGCTGTGCCATTATAACAGTAGCCATAGAACTCCCCAAATTAGTGTGGTGATATCTCAATAGACGTCTATATTTGAATAGTGAAATTTGAATTTCATATAATTTTTTTCCTGTCGTAAAATAATATTCTTCTTTTGCTTTTTGTCTCCAACCATTAAAAAATTTAAAACCATTCTTAGTTCAAGGACCTTACAAAAACAAGTGGCAGGCTAGATTTAACACTGGGGTCTAGTTTGATGACTCCTGTATTCGAGTAAAAAGAAAATCAAATTTAAAAATATTGTGGCCTGATGATTCAAGCTACTGAGAGTTGTGTTGTTTTGTTTTAGCAACTGGACATAAAGCATCAACTTCTTTGCTTTCTTCAACAGACTCTGGAAATGTGGTGTCACATCCCATTACTGCCAGCACACCAGAAGGGAGCAATTATGGGACAATAGGTATTTCCTACAATGGGTCTGTTCGTGGAAGTTTTTCCTAATTCTCCAGATAACAGGATACAAATGGCCCTCCAGCCATTAATAACCATGAGCATAGGCAAAGAAGTCATTCTATGAGATTGTCTTTTATTTATAAGATGAATTTGTTGGAGAATCTAGACATTTCCTTCCAGCTTTGGCTTTCTCCAGTTCTATCATTCTGTTTCTTGAACCTGCTAGCCGCCCTCAAACAGAATTCCCTGCAGTGGTTGCCAACGATACTAGGGCCCTCTGGGGACTTTTTCCTACCAAGCCTGGGGTTTAAAGCATGCAAGATGCATCACAGGGACCCTGACGTCAGTTGACCAGTTGTTTCATTCTCAGGTTTCAGTGGAGGAAAGGCAATCAGAAGACTAAAGCAGTGCTGCAGGTGAACACGGCTGTAGCCTAATACTCCTTCATTTTGGCTAACTTCATAATTGAACCTGCTCACTGCCACTCAGTCATTCCCCTGGTGTTCCTAAGTGGCCCAAAAGAAACAGAATCCCTATCTTGTTAGGGTAGAAGTGCATTGAGCTGCCTGGCCCTTCCATGCTGCTTGTGGACCCATGAAGGTGCATCTTAAAATGTCAGTGGAGAGGAACTGGGAATCCTGTATTTCCGCCCAATTATTCCATAACTTGGAGAAGCATGTGGGCTCAGTGCAGGCTACTTATATTTAGTTCTGTAAGAACAGGATTTTTAAAAACCATCTGAACAGAAGAAATAAAGCGGAAGGTAAGATCAGCTCATGTGTTCATCAAGCTGCACAAATCCCCATCTGCTCTGGGAAACATTCATGGGAACAGAAGGATTCTTCTTCCTGAGAATGTTGTTTTCATTATATAATCATAGATACAGCATGTGGGGGACTTCTGTGTACAAATACTTTATCCATAGGAAATGTATAGCTGCTGGATATGTGTGTGCTTCACATATATGTGATAGATGCTATACATAACTATGTGCATGTGTATGTTTACATATTTATGTTCATATTTTACAATATGAAACATGGGATGTAAGCACAATGTTATTTTTGTATCTAAATAGTTAACAGAGCAGATGCCCTTATATTTTAATATGTATTCAGCCCTGGAGACAGACAAGTTAAATATAAAAATAGGAGAGGAACAAAAATAAAAGTCTGCTGAGAAGGAATGAGGGAAAAGAACGTGTCTTGTGGGTGAGGAGTTTGTTTTGACCAATACAATGTTTTCTAGAGTGAGTCTGCACTGTGCTTTTTGCAGAGAGGAGTGGGCTCCATAGGCTCTGCTTGGCGTTTGAAGGCAAATGGGTTTTCTCTGTTTCAGATGAGTCAAGCTCCAGTCCTGGAAGGCAGATGTCCCCCTCGGATGGTGGACAGCCATGCCAGTCAGACACAGACAGCTCCGTGGAGGAGAGTGACTTTGACACTATGTCAGACATTGAGAGTGACAAAAACATCATCCGGACCAAGGTACCTACCTCTGCCTCACCATACTCTTTGAGCTAACTTGGCAGCAGAATCAACTTCAGCAACACCTTAGTTTCCTTTATTTTTTCTTTCCTTCAAGGGAAGTCACATTTCCCAAAAGGCTTAAATCAAGCATAATTACAGACTAAAAGCAATACTCTGTTAATTAGCAATTTTTTCTTGAGGAAGGAAATTAGAGCATTAAAGAGAACAGATACTCTCAAGGTCTGAAGTGGCTGGCTGTGGACAATAAAGGATGAAGAGATCCAACCAGGTGGAAGAGACATTTGTTTAAGGGGCATACCTGGAAAAGCTCCCTGGTTCTGGACATATCATCCTTCAGGAGGAAATCTCATTTCTTTCTGGCATTCATTTATTATATTGTGTTGTTTCCAGTAAAAGATATGAAGGTGAAACGCACAGTTTCAACTCTACGTAATTCAAAAACCACACAGTGGACAGTTCTGAAAGCTGGGAAATCAATTCTTGAGATATAAGAAGCACTCAAAACTCTCAGTAGGTTATCCACATCAGCCACACCTTAACAGCCCAAGGAAAATACTAGGATCTTTATGAAGACATCATGGGAAAAGCAAAATTAAAAAGAAAAATACTGAATAACTTTATTCAAGTAAATTTAATACATTTGAATAATTTTATTTTTGAATAATTTTAATTGAAATATGTAAAGCTCTCCTTTGTGTCTTATGCGTGATAAACCAAAGTACAGCTTTGTATTCTCTTTTTATTTGGTACCTCAGATGTTCCTTTACCTGTCAGATCTGTCCAGGAAGGACCGGAGAATTATCAGCAAAAAATATAAGATTTACTTTTGGTAAGTAGACTAGCAGTAGGATCATAGTTCCCTTAGGTAAACATAGTTTCCTTTGTAAGAGCCACAACCACTTAGTGTTTAGTGTAGCACAGGCATAGGTGATGATGCCATAGACCAATGACAAATAGACCTGCAGCAATGACACACATGGATGCAGCCTTCTCCCAGCCAAGAGACTGAGCTGCCTGGCAAAGACCCCTTCCTCCCCTCAGAAACTCCCAAGCTGATGGTTGTCCTCTTGTGACAGCTCCACCCATTCTTTTCTCTGGAAGGATGTCCTTTTATTTGGATACAGATATTAGAGGGAAACAAGGGTCACTTGGAGTTTCATGGTGGGACCATTAGTTTGGAACTGAAGTATCTAAGAGATACCACACACCCTTGATGGGATGCACCACCCATTACTTGCACTCTGATGTTTAACAACATCCTAAAGAGATTAGGCCCGCATAAATGGTTTGGTTAAACCAGAAGCAGACATTAGTTAAAAAGTTTTTACCAATGGTTGTATGAAAAGAAAGAAAAGAAAATCCTATTGTTTGTTGGGTGCCAATCATTAACCTTTTAAAATATATCATTTCATTGTGTATTTTCAGTGTTCTCCTCTGAAAACGAACTCATAGTAGCCAAGGGGAGTTTTTCTTTACTTCTTTGCCTCCTCTTTAGATGAGGTATTGTGTACCAAATGTCCAAATGCAGGAAAGAGGGAGAGGGAAACTGAATAGACAGAAACCACATAATCAGCTTCTGATCACTCGTGTAGTTGACTGTGGATTTCTGGGGTGGAAATATTTTAAAATATTGAGCAAAGATTCCATTGTTAATTTGGAAATAATGATTTCTGGTTCTTTCTGCCTGCATAGGAACATCATCACCATTGCTGTGTTTTACGCACTGCCTGTGATCCAACTGGTCATCACCTATCAGAGAGTAAGTGCTTCCCCCAACCCCAGAATCCCAGCTCTCAACCTGCAAGGAAAGTCTTCACTGTGACTTGCAGAGAGAGATGCAACTTGGGATCTGTTCAAGAATTAGTTTTCCTGCAGCCATAAAAAAGAATGAAATCACGTTCTTTGCAGCAACATGGATGGAGCTGGAGGCCATTATCCTAAGTGAACTAGCTTGGAAACGGGACTCCAAACACCTCATGTTCTCACTTATAAGTGGGTGCTAAACAATAGGTACTCATAGGCATAATGATGGAAATAATAGACACTGGGGACACTGGAAGGGGGCAGGTTGGTTGAAGGGGTTGAGGGTTTAAAGATTATCTATTGAGTACAATGTTCACAACTTGGGGAACAGGGACAGAAGCCCAGTCCCCACCAGTACACAATATACCCAACTAACAAGCATGCGCCTGTATCCCTGAATCCAAAATAAAATAAAATAAAAAATTAACTTCCCAATGGGAGTTCTAATTCAACTTCATTCACCGTTGCTTCATCTTTAGCTGACCTTTCAATCTGGTTCTCAACTGTTTAATCACAAAGGAATCTAGGACCTCTTGTGTTATTTTGCCTACAAACCTAAAATTATCACCTTGCACTCATTCATAATGTTTAGGAACTGCATCTTTTCTTTACCAGGCTGAGCTTCCTGATCATCATGGGATAATGAGTAGAATAAAGTTCCAGATCAAAACAAAGAAACCCAATATCTAATCTAACCTGTGCCTTCTCACGGGGGGTAAATACAAAATTAAAAACAGTTTTATGAAACTAAAAAATATTAAAGTAAAAAGAAAAGGCTGAGGCAGATGGATTGCTTGAGTCCAGGAGTTTGAGACCAGTCTGGGAAACATAACAAGACTGCATCTCTACAATTAAAAAAAAAAAAATAGGTACTCATGGGCCTAATGATGGAAATAATAGACACTGGGGACACCGGAAGGGGGGAGGTTGGTTGGAGGGGGTGAGGATTTAAATATTATCTATTGAGTACAGTATTCACAACTTGGGGAACAGGGACAGAAGCCCAGTCCCCACCAGTACGCAATATACCCAACTAACAAACGTGCACCTGTATCCCTGAATCCAAAATCGGTGGCACATGTCTGTAGTCTCAGCTACTTGGAAGGCTGAGGTGGAAGGATCACCGGAGCCCAGGATGTCCTGGCTGTGGTGAGCTGTGATTGTGCCACTGCATTCCAACCTGGGCCACAGAATGAGACCCTGCCCCCCCAAAGAAGACAAAGGTGAAGGCAAAGAAGAAGACGGAGGAGGAGGAGGAGGAGGAGGAGGAAGAGGAAGAAGAAGAAGAAGAAAAGAGAAATTTTTTTTAACAAAACAGTTTGTTTTGTTTTTTTTGAGTTGGAGTCTCACTCTGTTGCCCAGACTGGAATGCAATGGCACACTCCCGGCCACCGCAGCCTCAACCAGCTGGGCTCCGGCAATCCTTCCACCTCAGTCTTCCAAGTAGCTGGAACTACAGGCACGTGCTACCACACCCGGCTAATTTTTTTATTTATTGTAGAAACGAGGTCTCACCAAGTTGCCCAGGCTGGTTTCAAACCCATGGGCTCAGGCAATCCACTTCCCTTGGTCTCCCAAAGTGCTGGGATTACAGGCTGAGCCACCGAGCCCAGTCCAAAGCAATTTTTTGAACAAACAAAATAATATAAAACCGCTTGAGAATCCCTACTGCTCCTTCATAGAACCCAGTGGACAAGGTTCCTTAAGTGACCTTCTCTAGAATTTTTTTTTTTGAGTTGGGGTGTCACTCTGTCACCCAGGCTGGAGTGCAGTGACATGATCACAGCTCACTGCAGCCTTGACCTCCTGGGCTCAGGTGATCCTTTTGACTCAGTCTGCCAAGTAGCTGAGGCTGCAAACACATGCCACCATGCCAGGCTAATTGTTTTACTTTTTTAATTTTTACTTGTAAGACGAGGTCTTGCTATGTCGACTAGCCTGGGCAATGATTGACCACTCCTGGGCCCAAACAATTCTCCCACCTTGGCTTCTCAAAGTCCTGGGATTAGAGGCATGAGCCACCAATGTCCAGCCCTTCTCTGGAAATTATTACACATAAGAAAGCACATTTAGAATAGCATAAGGCTGAAGGTGTTTCTAATGCAGAGACTCTCAGACCTTGCTGAGCATTAAAGTCACCTGGAAAACTTGTAAAATCCCATCGTCCAGGCTGTACACTCACCAATTAGATGAGAGTCTCTGGAAATAGAACCAGGCATCTGTATTATTAAAACACCCGGGGATTCCAAGTTACAACTAAGTTTGAGCACTGATGGTCATGGTCTAATAATACTTAGACGATTCCATACTTATTGGATAATGAGGACAAGGACTTCATGAGACTTGAACACCACTTTTGTGATCTAAATATTTTCTGCATACTTTGGGGCCCTGTCAGAACATACAGCTGTACTGTGGTTAGGAAGGTTCTTGACAGAGATGGTGATAAATATGGAAAACTGAGCACACATCTCCTCATGCCTCCCTGCCCCACTGTTACCATTTCTATCTAGAGTATGGGACAGCTCCATATTCCTGCAGCATTAATCTAGAAACTAGATTAAAGGCAGGTCCAAACATTAGCATTCTTTCACAGTCCTTTTATCATGATAACAAAGGAAACACACTTAGTCACTTCCACCTTGAGTCTGTATAATGGGGTACAAAGAATATTTTCATTCAAAGCAAGATGGTTATATTTAAAGGAAATATGCCTGTGCTGAGTAACAGTGGCAGATAATGACCCAGTCCTGCTGAGAGACAGTGCTGGTTACATTATAAATCACAGACAGTATGTCACTGAGCCCTGCCTGTACTTTGTGTTTTTAGGCTGGGGCTCAGAGGGTAGAGAAAAACTGCACTTCCTCTTCTCTCTCTTGATTTTACAGGTGGTGAATGTCACTGGCAACCAGGACATGTGTTACTACAACTTCCTCTGTGCTCACCCCTGGGGAGTCCTGAGGTAAACTCAGTCTTTGGGTTGCCCCGAGACATTTAGACATGCCTTTCTGACTACTGTTGTGATTTCAGTTTTTTTTAAATACTAAAAACAACTGTGGAAAACAACCCCAGTCAAGGGTAAAGAGAAAGTAAACCAAGAAGTTGAAACAAGGTGTGCTTCTCTCATTCCTGTGTGAGGGCCTCCGGAAACATCCCTAAGGCCAACCTGTAAGATGAGGGCAGTGCTGCTTTTGAAAATGTCAGGTCTCTAACTATGATGGCATTTGTTCGTGAGCGTGAGCTGGCAGCCTATTGTCCTTCAATCCGTTACACAACTTCATGAGATAGACATGATTATTACTCCTGTTTTTAGATGAGGACAGGTAAGGAGTTGCTGAAGGCCCTCAGCAGCTAGTGATGCCAGGACTCCATCACGAGCCTGCAGCCTCCAAGGCCATGCTCTAGCCACCTGACCTTGGTAAAACAGAAAGAGCATTTGTCTGGGAGTTGGGAGCCTGGCTTCTTCCTTCAGAACTGAACCAGTCTCAGTTTCCTCAAATAAAGCTGCTGGCTGTGATTGGCTGACACTTATCTTTTTTTTTTTTTTTTTTTTTTGAGTCGGGATCTCACTCTGTCACCTAGGCTGGAGTGCAGTGCAGTGGCATGCTCACAGCCACCACACCCTCAACCTGCTGGGTTCAGGTGATCCTTCCACCTCATCTTTCCAAGTAGCTGGAACCACAGGCATGTGCCACCATGCCCGGCTGATTTTTTGATTTATTGTAGAGACAAGGTCTCGCCATGTTGCTCAGGCCGGTCTTGAACCCCTGAGCTCAGGCAATCCTCTTGCCTCCGCCTCCCAGAGTGCTGGGATTACAGGATTGAGTCACTTCGCCCAGTCGACACTTATCTTGAAATTCAGTTAGAGAGCATTCACTCTCATTATGTAGCTGAAACACCTGCCTGTCTTTGGAGCCGCTCTCTTTTCCAGGATTCCTACTAGTCCAGTGCCACTGGGACAAAAGACACTTGGGCGGGTGTTAGAGAAGCTAAGTGGGCATCCCTGAGAGGAAGCAGACACCTTATCACAGGCTAAGTAAGCATCACGAAATGAAAGAGTTAGGTTATATCAGAAGATTTATAATAATTTTCCAATCCTGAAATCTTATGGAAAGGTTTGTGGTGGAATATACTGAATGCTGAGCTCCCTCATTCGCACACTCGGGATCCCTCTGATTGCCTCGACTGTCTCACGGTTTCCCATTCATCCCTGTAGTGCCTTCAACAACGTTCTCAGCAACCTGGGCCACGTGCTTCTGGGCTTACTCTTCCTGCTGATAGTCTGGCGACGAGACGTTCTCCATCGAAGAGCCCTGGAAGCCAAGGACATCTTTGCCATGGTGCGGAAAGAGTGGGTGAATCAGAGGTGGGAGCTAGGAAGGATCTGCAGAGGGGAGGTGCATCAGGCTTGATGGTGTGATGGCAAGTTATGACATGAGGCCAACAGCGTGGGCTTCCAGATTAGTGACATGGTGCCTATGCCACCAATAAGGATCTTTCTACTCACCACCTTTCTCCTTTTTTCAGGAGTACGGGATTCCCAAACACTTTGGTCTCTTCTATGCTATGGGCATCGCGCTGATGATGGAAGGAGTGCTCAGTGCTTGTTACCATGTCTGCCCTAATTATTCCAACTTCCAATTTGGTAATTGGTGCTTATATCTAATATACAGATTTGAGTTATGAGTCTTATCCTGGGACCCTCCCCAAAATGCCGAGGTCATACTTGCAAGAACTGAATGGCATTTCATAGGCACTGAAGTAATCAGAGAGCACCGCACCCACCAGAGATCATGGTTTCTACACCTTGTGCCATTAGTTCTCTTCGACCACCTTTTAGACTAGAGAATGTTCAACACTGAACGCTGATGCCATGGCTGTATTTGAAGGCAGGCAATGAGCTAAGTATTAGGCAGTAAGTCAGGTAGAATCCACCAACAGACTTCTAGAAAGGTCGCTTGGTATAACTTGGCCTAGTTGACCAGTTAACTACTTTGACATGAAAGTTCTAGAAAACCCAATTCAGATTGGATTGAATAAGAAGGACATAATAAGCTTACCATCTGAAAGTCTGGAGGTAGAAAGGGCTTGTGATTGATTTGTGTAGTGGCTCTGGTTCCATTTCTGTGTGATCCTTGTGATTGTGACCAGCTTATGTGTTGGGTTTACCCTCGTGTTATCTTCCCTCATGGTAGCAAAAGTAGCTATGGCTTCGTAGCTCCACCCCACCATTGCAGAGAAGGTAGTAAATTGGCTTCCAGGAGCCTTCATTAAAGAGCAAGGAAGCCTTGTGCTGAGAAACCCCCAGACAACGTCCCTTCACACCTCAGTAGCTTAAATGGTCATGAGCCTCTTCTTGAATAATCCCCTAAGTCCTTGTTAGCTCAGGCCTGATTTGCAACACCAATCGGCAAAGAGGTGAGATTACCATTAGACCAGTCAGACCCATTCCTGGAGCCAAAGTGGCTGGGAAAGTGTGTAGTTCTCACTTGAAAAGGAGGGTAGATATTGAGTTAGTGCTGAGATGCTGTTAGGAAGAAGGAAGGGGAGAAGCATCCTGGTAAGCAAGTAACAGTGTCCTCCATACTCAAAGGTAAGAATTTTTAAAGTGGTTCTTTTATATTTGTGCTCTGGCCTCTGGCTGTTAACTCAGAACACTGCTGAACTTTGTCCACATTTAATTTTTTTAATTATAATTTTTTTTGGTCAGAGTCTCACTCTGTTGCCCAAGCTGGAGTGCAATGGCACTCTCATGGCTACCACAGCCTTGACCTGCTGGGTTCAGGCGATCCTTCTGCCTCAGCCTTCCACATAGTTGGAACTAAAGATGTGTGTCACCACGCCTGGCTAAGTTTTGTGTCTATTTTAGAGACAAAGTTTCTGCAAGTTGTCCAGGCTGGTTTTGAACCACTGGGCTCAGGCAATCCTCTTGCCTCTGCCTTCCAAAGTGGTGGGATTACAGGCGTGAGCCCCCATGCCTGACAGAAAACATTTGAAATAGAGAAAACTAAAGAGAACCATAGTTCACCACCTAGAATGAACAAATGTAAACATTTAAAAATATTTACCTTAGATCTGCTGTTTGAGAAATAAAACATGGTGATAAAGTTGAGGTCCTGTTTTGAAACAGTTCCCAAACTTATCCTCTCCCTCCTTCCCCAGAGGCAACAACTATGATTAATTTGGTATTTATCCTTCCAGTTTGTTTTTATAGGTCGGCTGTATATAGCAAATTAATATTAGTGTAGCACACTGTGTTCTGCAACCTTCTTTCTTCATTTAACAGTATATTTTCAAGATTTTTCAATATTGAATCAAGGACATGTATTAATAGTTCAATCATTTTTAAGGATTATCATATTCTATAATAAAAGTATATCACATTTATCAGTTCCTCCATTGAACAACATTTTGATGTTGTCAATATTTCGCTATTACAGACAATGCTACAATGAACATCCTTGTGTATGTCTCTTTGTGGGCAAGTGAGAGAGGTTCCTCGAGGTACCTAGAAGTAGAATTAAGTCATTTGATTAGTGCAGCTTCCAAAAACTAACAAATGTCTCTCCAGAGCATTAATTTGCATTCCCACTAGCTGTGTGAGTTCCCATTCCCCCATCACTACTAATATTTGCTAATGATAGATATTTAAATTTTTTGCTAATTTTTAAGTAGTATAGGGTATTGCATTGTTAACTTAATTTGCATTTTCATAATTCTAATTCAACCAAATTACATTAAATTTCTGGCTGTTTTTTAACACTAGGTTTTAAAGCTATGTATGTGTAGTAATCAATGTGGTTATATTTCAGGGTGCTGAGGACGAGCTCCCACATCCATCTGGGACTCATTTTATTGTCACACTGCCTAAACTATTATCATTATGGACCCTTTTGTTACTGTTATTGAACACCAGTGTTTAAAATGTAAATACCCCTGCAAGTAGGGATGGTCAATTATTTATCCTATCAGATACTTATTCTTCTGTGAAAGAGGAATTGGATTGGATATTATATTGGATGCTTTTCTTCTATGGACTAAGAGCGACCTCAAAGCGTTTTTTTAAAAAATTTTTTTATTTTTTATTTTTGAGTTGGAGTCTCACTCTGTTGCCTAGGCTGGAGGGCAGTGGCATGCTCACGGCTATCGCAGCCTCAACCTACTGGGCTCAGGTGAGCCTTCCACCTCAGCTTTCCAGTAGCTGGAACTACAAGCATGCACCACCATGCCTGGCTAATTTTTTGATTTGTTGTGGAGATGAGGGTAGATATTGCCCAGGTTGCTCAGGCTGGTCTCGAACCTGTAGACTCAGGAAGTCCTCTCACCTCGGCCTCCCAAAGTGCTAGGATTATAGGCGTGAGCCACTGCGCCCAGCCTCTCAAAGGGGTTTAGAAGTGGAGTATGTGAGGTCTGCCTATAGAATGAGCCTAGGGAGGCTGACATGTCGGAGGTCTCCACAGTCTGAGGGCAGCACATAGTCCATTGACTGAAGTTCGTGGACTTCAGTGAGGGGATGCTCAGAGGCTAAAGAATAATCTAGAAAGTGTCACCAGTCTGTTGCCTACTGAATCCTGATGGTCTCAGCTCCTTCTCTGGGTCCCCAGACACCTCCTTCATGTATATGATCGCGGGCCTCTGTATGCTGAAGCTCTACCAGACCCGTCACCCGGACATCAACGCTAGTGCCTACTCTGCCTATGCCTCCTTTGCTGTGGTCATCATGCTCACCGTCCTCGGAGTGGTGCGTCCCTCTCTACCCATCTTCCATCTGGCTCTCGAAAAGCGCCCTCTTGAGAGGCCTGTTTTTGTTTGTTTGCTGGACCTCAGGTGAATGGGTTTGGATGAGCCATAATCTCAGTTCATGATACACTCTCATCACCGATCCATTCATGGTAGACTTTGACTTCATTATTTGGTTGGTTATTTTTAATAATGTAGTAGGCAACTGTCCAACTACCCCTGGATAGTTATAACATGAAATCGGGGCCTGACTCGTGTGAAATAAGAATAGACATGTACAAGCAGATTGGAGAGACTGACCTGAAAGAACAGAAGTCACTTTCGAAACATGCATGGGCGACAAGCTTTGGCTGTTTTCAGTTATTTGAAGTGCATTAGCCCCAACTGTAGCCCTATTGTCCCTTCACCATTGCTGTCCAGCTACCTCCCTATTTCTTCTCTTCTCTGTTTCATTTGGCTGGCTAGTCAAATTCTTTTTCCTGCCTGTTGTACAGTGAGATCCAAGAGTTCCAAGAAAGGGGGTAAAATGCACCCTCAGCTCAGTTTTTGACTCCTCATGCATACGTGAGAGATAGAATGATTTTAGTTGGGTTCTCTGGGAAAAAATACAAAGGAAGATAACCTCCATCTTTACTCCTAGGTGTTTGGGAAAAATGACCTGTGGTTCTGGGTCATCTTCTCTGCAGTTCACGTTCTGGCCTCTCTGGCCCTCAGCACCCAGATCTACTACATGGGGCGTTTCAAGATAGGTGAGTCACTGTTCTTCTATTCTAAACACATGGACCAACTTACCATGGTAAAGCAGACATTGCCTTCACTTATCCTAAATGAAGGTGTCACCATGAACATGTGCTCTGAATTCTGTGCTGTGGTAATAGCAGATATTGTGTGCAAGAGCTTCCTCTCTCTTATAGGACTGCAATAAGCTATTATCACTAGTTCTATTTTCAGCTGCAAATGAAGCTTGTCACACCTTGGAACTGAGACTACCTCCAGTTCCTAGACGCAAACACTTTATAACTCACCAAACTTTGACACTGCATTTGGAGAATGGTCATGATCATAATACCACTAGTTCCACTACAGAACATTTTTTGCTTTATGGTATTTGAAAAAGTATTTCTCTAACTGTGCTCAGTGGTTGTAAAGAAGGAATGATATGTTTTCAGATTCTAGGGCTGGAACTTTTTGAGAACAATTTGCCAATCTAAGAGGCAGAACGCCTCTTCCAACAGTGTGAATTTATCAGGGAGCACCAAACGTTCTTCAGAAATCAGCTTGTGATCTGCTGTTGATCAGTTGTCACACATGGGAGCAAATTCAAGCTGTTTTTGAGCATTTAAATGTATCAGCCGGGCTCAGTGGCTCAGCCTGTAATCCCGCGCCTTTGGGAGGCTGAGGTGAGTGGATTGCCTGAGCCCGCGGGTTCGAAACCCGCCTGGGCAGCGAGACCTCATCTCTACAGTAAATCAAAAAAATCAGCCGGGTGTGGTAGCGCGCGCCTATAATTCCGGCTACTCGGAAAGCTGAGGCAGAAGGATCGCGAGAGCCCAGCAGGTCGAGGCTGCGGTGGCCGGGAGTGGCCACTGCACTCCAGTCTGGGTGACAGTGAGACTCCAACTCAAAAAATAAATAAATAAAATAAATAAATAAATGTATCAAATCATTTCAAAGTCCAGGAAGTCAGACTTAAATATTCATTTGTATATTTCAAGGCAAATTATTATTTATAAACATAGGTCCAGCCTTAATATGTGCGGAATCCAGAGCTAGAGTAAAAAATTAAAGCCTGCATGTCATATGTGTAAGAATTTCACAGTCATAAGGCAGACTAAAAAGTTATTACATACATGAAAGAAAAAACAAAGAAAAGAAGACAAAATAGTAAATATACTATGCTTTCATTAGAAGACCCATGTTCAAATTTAGAATGCTTGGTCTCAAGAGCGAACACTCTAAAATGCAACCCTCTTTTCTTCCTACCTCTGGTTCTTTCTTGTGTCCTTTTTTTTAGTCAGAATCTCACTCTGTTGCCCAGGATGAAGTGCAGTAGCACGCTCGCAGCCACTGCAGCCTTGACCTGCTGGGCTCAGGTGATCCTTTTGCCTCAGCCTTCCAAGTACCTGGAACCACAGCCACACGCTACCACGCCTGGCTAACTTTTTGATTAATTGTAGAGATGATGTCTCACCAAGTTGCCCGAGCTGGTTTTGAACCCCTGGAATCAGGCAGTCCTCTCGCCTCTGCCTCCCAAAGTGCTGGGATTATATTTTTATTTATTTATTTATTTATTTTTGAGTTGGAGTCTCACCCTGTCGCCCAGACTGGAGTGCAGTGGCCGCGCCCGACCACCGCAGCCTCGCCTTGCTGGAGTGCTGGGATTATAGTCATCAGTCACCATGCCCAGCTTCTGTCCTGTGTCTTAAGGAGCCTCACAGTGTGCCTGTGGACACCCCTGCACAATGTCCAGTGTCCATCCACCTCTCCCACAGATAGGCACCACTTGACCATTCCTTGCCTCCAGAGGTGCACACTCATGGTACCATCTACCCTCAGAAGACAGACAAGGGAAGGGAGCTTTAGAGGCCTTGATGCAGGCTCAGAGCCATCTGGCAGCAAGTTCTGGGGTCCAGGTCTAAAAGAGAAAAGAGTAGTCCTCTTGTTCTGAAGACTTCTCACTCATAAGGGAATAATGGCCCTCTTAAAATATGAGACCCCTCTTGCCCAAGTCTCAGAGCAATTCTACATAAACAAATGGCATTATGACTAGAAGATGGAATAAAACAGTTGTGCATTTTCACAGTTCAGTTTTTACCTCTTGTCATGGTCAGGGGATTCATTTTTGGCATGAACATAGCCAGTGTACCTCCAAATCTCCCAGTTACATTAGTAGTTATGTAGAACATTTGGCATGGCACTCTGGTGAGTGAAATCATACAAGCTTTCAAAAGGAAAATAATTAGGAGCATTGTTGTCCTGGTTTCTCCCAGAGTTGGAAAAATAAACTTGAATACAGATACATGCAGTGGTCATGATTACCAACACACAGAGGAGCTTTCATATATTTATACCACCTTTGCTTCATGCAATATGAAGATACTTTACCATTTAAAAGAGGTGAGATTTAACATATTATGCTGTGGTTATATAATAATTTGTCAAGGTCCCAACAGGAAAAAGATGTCTTGGTCCCAAGAGAAAACACTCCACAACATAGCTGTGCAGGAGAGTGGTTCCCAGCCCCTGCCCCTCTTTCCTTTTTACCTCTGGTCCATAAAGATTGAGGAGAATTTTTTTTTTCTTTTTTACAAAGGAACTATTCACAAGATATGAGTGGGGTAGAGGAGAATGAAGTAGGTAGCATGGTAATCCAGGATTAGCAGCGAGGCTTTTACCATCCACAAACCCAGAAAGACAGAAGGAATTGGTTACCAAAATGTGGAAGGAGAGAGCCCTGGAGAGGAAGTCCCTCCCGAAAGGAGCGGTGATCTTTCATTGACAGAGGCAGCCAGCCTGAGGCAACCTCACAGTGAGAGCACCAGGAAAACAAGTCCTCTGAGCTCACTCTCCTTCCTTTGTTTCTGCAGTCTCCTCCTGGGGCTACCCATTGTCCTAATCTAAGAAGAGTAAGAGAATCCACTGATGTCTTCCGCACAGGCCAGCCTCTTCAGCACAGTGCAGGAGCATCCTGGCAAGCAGCTCTAGCAGGGCAAAGGGAAGACAGTCATGTATAGTTCAAATGGATATTTTCTTTTTTTTTTTTTTGAGTCGGAGTCTCACTCCATTGCCCAGACTGGAGTGCAGTGGCCACTCCCGGCCGCCGCAGCCTCAACCTGCCGGGCTCCGGCGATCCTTACGCCTCAGCCTTCCGAGTAGCTGGAACTACAGGTGCGCGCTACCACGCCCGGCTGATTTTTTCATTTATTGTAGAGATGAGGTCTCGCCAAGTTGCCCAGGCGGGACTTGAACCCGCAGACTCAGGCAAGCCACTCACCTCGGCCTCCCAAGGCACGGGATTACAGGCTGAGCCACTGAGCCTGGCAAAATGAATATTTTCAATGTCAGTACCCAGAGAGTCTTCCTCAGGAGGTTACAGATGTACTAAAATCCAAAAGAAAACTTTCTATTTCCTTGTGGCAATGATTGTGTCTAAATGTAGTCCAAAAGAAGGAAGTGCAATTAGTGGACGGTAGATCAGCCAACTCCAATATCTCTACCCATTTCCTAAACTGCCTTTGCCTTCTAGCCACATACTCCTTTCTTGAGGCCCTTCAGGCTACACAAGAAAATAAATGTGGACACAGGAAAGGCAGCAGTGATAAGACAGAACATTTCATAAATAGGACAGAAAGCCAGAGAGTCAATAGCCCAGACCACTACTGTGTCCCATGCTCCCAAGAGCCTTGGAAAAAGACCTTGGGGGTTGCTCACGAGAGAAGATGGATTACAAATTGCAGGTGGTGCACAAAAGTAGACAGTGAGAGAAAAGAGTCTTTAACTCTTTTTTTGAGGAATAGCTAACTTCTGAATGTTTGAGACAGGCAAAGATTCTGTATTCTTTTTGATGAGCAGACATTACTTTTAGAATTCGAAAACAAAATTAAAGTTATCCATCTTGAGAAACAATAAAATGAGCAGTAGTTTACTTGTGTGTTTCCTTTCTTACAAACCTTTTTTTTTCTCATCTCTCCTCTGCTTCCTCCTGATTCAGATGTATCTGACACAGGTAATGTTCAGCCACCCTTCTCAGAGTTCCAGATTGTTTCCTTATCAGAGCGACCCATCTGGCTGGCCTGCCAGCTCTATTCCCTGAATACCCCCTTCTAGGCTGGGCAGGTTCCATGAGAGGAGGCAGCCAAAACAAGGCTGAGAGGGGAGGCTGCACTCCCACCCCGCCTGCTGTGCACCTCCTCTGGGCTGTCACAGGGACAGGCCTCTCCCTCCTGGTTAAATTGACTGCATGGGTAACCTTCACGAGGAACAAGCATTCACAACCGAGCTGGGATCCACACTCTCTGAAGTGCTTGCTTCAGCAGACTCAGACTTGCATTTGATGTCTGTGGTACGGAAGGTTCACAGAAAGACAGCTTGCCTTTGACCCTGACTGTTCATGTAACCAATAACACGCACACACACAACATTCCATATCATCCTTTTAAAATTGCATTTAAAAAAAACAAACCTTTTCCTGTCTTTTTCTCCCATCTTAACTTACACTCTTTTGATTCTTGTTTTAGTGCAGATAGGTCTTCTGAACATGCTCGGTAGCCCAGTATCCCTTGGTTCTGTTCTTACTAATTCATAACCACAATGAGAAATACAGATTCAAAAGTTTTCAAGCTAAGACTTCCCATCCTCTGGGGAGAGCAGATGTTTTAAGGTAGATTTGAGGGACCCATAACATTGCTGCTATAAAGGAAACACCAGAGTAAACTATAAACAAAGGAACGCATGGCTGAAGGAGACAGAACAAGGGTTGGCCAGCTACCTGTGTTATTTGTGCTTGTTGCTAGTGTCTGTCTTGCTTGCCTGTCGTATTATGCACAGATGTGGCACCCCCTCTATGAAAAAGCCATTTTTAAAAGCAAATATTTATTGCTCACCTATTAGGTGCAAAGCATTCTAATGCATTTTAACGAAATGAAGACCACATTACCTTGGTCCCAAAAGCTTAGGCCACCTCGGAGTATTTGTATTTTCACTGACTAAGCCTTCTCACCATGCAATTGTGTTATCAACAGATTTGGGAATTTTCCAGCGGGCTGCCATGGTGTTCTACACGGACTGTGTCCAGCAGTGTAGCCGACCTCTGTATATGGTACGTGTATGCTCCTGTGTTCCTTGGCCTTCTCCCAGAAAGTAGGGGAAAAATAGGAGGGAGCGTGTTTCAGGACAGTCACTCAGGACTCCCTAAATCAAGAGGACCAGATGGCCCAGTGTGGCTGAGATACAGTTAGTGGGGGAAGGAGCATGTTGCTTTTTCTTTTTCATAAAAGGCAAATGAGGGTGGTCCCATTTTTGTAAACAAAATACTTGCTAGTATATAACGAAAGACAACATGCATATCCAACTGTGAAACAGTGATCATTGCTGTGGGGGAAGATCAAGACAGAGTGTCCTTATAAATAATCATCCAAGAGGTGCCCTTGTGCTCGTGAAAGAGCGTATGATTAATAATTACACCAGGACAGCAGGCGTAAACCAGGACCATCCCGAGCAAACAGGGACCTGTGGTCACTCTGATCACTTTCATTCAGGAGCTTTACTTTCACATTATGCATTTCTTTATTGCTTAATTTTTACAATGAACAAGTATTCTTTTTAAACTGTGGTTATTGCTTAATGGTTGAAATATACTTTTAAAAGTTTGCCCTTACAATTTTCAATATATATTCTAATTATATATTTCTACACGGATCCCAGAGATCAGGGCCCTAGTCCCGGCTCTGTGCTGGGTCACTGGCCATTGACCTTGGGAAGGCTACTTACCTCCTCCGAGCCCACTACCCGAGCCTTTATACAGTACTGAGGTCAGAACTAGTGATACTCTCATGGCCTGGCACACAGGAATTGAGTAAGTCCCCACTAATCCTTTATAACTAGAAGGACTTTTACATAAAGGAATATGAGACTATTCCTTATAGAACTATTCCCTCTAGAGGGATATTCTAGAGAAATATCCCTCGGGAACTTGGACAGGAGATATAGGCACTATACACTTAAGGGAATCGAGGCTGGAGGGCTTTATTCAGGTGAGAATGAAATAGCCTATTAGGATCTGAATATTTTGAGAGGTAAGTGAATCAGGAGGGACAAGTTATGTTTTTGTTCATTTGTTTTTTACATTAATTTATGCAGGCTTTCTTTTTGTCTAAACAAACTTTATTTTTTATTATATTATATATATACATATTTTTTTCATAGAGATGAAATCTCACTGTGTTGCCCAGGCTTGTCTCGAACTCCTGGGCTCAAGCAATCCTCTCACCTTAGCCTCCCAAAGTGTTGGGATTACAGGCGTGAGCCACCACCCCAGTCAATATTTTAGAGTAGCTTTAGGTACACAGCAAAATGGAGTAGCAGGTACAGAGATTTCCCACATACCCTCTGCCCGCCCCCCCCACACACACAACTTCCCCATTTTGACATCCCATACCAGTGTGGTACAGTGATAACAACTGATGAGCTTACACTGACATATCATTATCACGCAATCCACGCCTGACAATATATTAGAGTTCATCCTTGCTGTTGTACATTTTCGGGTTTTGACAAATGTATAACATCATGTATCTACTATTACAGTATTATACAGAATAGTTTGACTGCCCTAAAAAATCCTCTGTACAGGCCGGGCGCAGTGGCTCAAGTCTGTAATCCCAGCACTTTGAGAGGCTGAGATGAGAGGATGGCCTGAGCCCGCAGGTTCAAGACCAGACTGGGCAACTTGGCGACCTCATCTCTACAATAAATCAAAACAATTAGCTGGGCATGGTAGCGTGCACCTGTAGTTCTGGCTACTTGGAAGGCTGAGGTGGAAGGATCGCAGGAGCCCAGCAGGTTGACTCTGGGGTGACCTTGAGTGTGCCACTGCACTCCAGCCTGGGCAACAGAGTGAGACTCCAACCCCCCAAAAACCAAAAAACAAACAAACAAATAAAAATCCTCTGTGCTTTATTGATTCAACTCTCACTCCCTCCTAACCTCTGGCAACCACTGATCTTTCCACTGTCTCTACAGTTTTGCCTTTTCCAAAATGTCACATTATTGGAATCATGTAGGATGTAGTCTTTTCATATTGGCTTCTTTCATTTAGTAATATGCATTTAAGTTTCCTTTGTCTTTTCATGGCTTGATAGCTCATTTCTTTTTAGCAGTGAATAATATTTCATTGTCTGGATGTGCCACAGTTTATGTATTCACCTACTGAAGAACATCTTGGTTGCTTCCAAGTTTAGGTAATTATGAATAAAGCCACTATAACATTCGTGTGCAGGTTTTTGTGTGGACATATATTTTCAGCTCCTTTGGGTAAACACCAAGGAGAGGTATTTATTGCTGGATTGGATGGTAAGCATATGTTTAGTTTTGTGAACAGCTTCCAAACTCTCTTCCAAAATGACTAGACCACCTCACAGTCCCACCAGCAAAGACTGAGAGTTCCTGTTGTTCCACATCCTCCCCAGTATTTGATGTTGTCAGTGTTTTGGACTTTGGTCATGCTAATAGATGAATTAGTATGTTGTTTTTGTTTTGTTCTGTTTTGTTTTTTGAGTCAAAGTCTCACTCTGTCACCCAGGCTGGAGTGCAGTGGCATGCTCACAGCCACGACAGCCTCGACCTCCTGGGTTCAGGCAATCCTTCTGCCTCAGCCTTCCAGGTAGCTGGAACTACAGTCACAAGCCAGCATGCCCAGCTAATTTTTTAATTTTATTGCAGAGGCGAAGTCTCGCCAGGTTGTCCAGGCTGGTCTCAAATATCTGGACTCAGGCAATCCTCTTGCTTCCGCCTTCCAAAGTGCTGGGATTACAGGCGCGAGCCACTGCACCTGGCAATGTGTTTTTTAATGAAGATATTTCCTTCAGATTGGATGAATCACCTGCAAAACCAAAAAAAAAAAAAACAAAAACACTACTTTTAAATAGTAGATGAGTGACTATGCAAACTAAAATATAATAAAATCTCACCTAAAAGTTTTAAGTCATATGCAAAGGAACAGGAACAAATTGTGAATAAATCTCATCAGAGCGACTGTTCTTTAAGATGGATATTTCCCCTCCATTTTCTCCCCTACCCAGCAGTGTTAGTGTAAAGACTGTGTGCTGTACAGACCAGGAGCCTGGGATTTGCAGGAACTTCTTGGAGGCAGAGGAATGGGTACAAAACTAACTCCCTCCAGATTGGTCCTAAGACTTGCAATAGAGACTACCAAGTAGCACAATCCAGAGAAACAGTCCTCCATCACATAGCACCAGTGACAGAATTCTTTTAACTGCTAAGTAATAGCACACACCTCCAGCCTCCTCACTAAGAAGTGGGTCCAGGTGTCCAGCTCCAGCAAACAGTGGGGAAAAACAGTCACGGTCCTGCTTTGCTTACCACATTTTCTTTTACAGGGACAAAGTCAAGTCTGTTTGCAGTCATAAGCCACTTAGTCCTTGTGGAGGAACATTGGCAAGGCTTTCCTAGAACCATAGACAATTGTTTTCACCAAGGCAATTGTTTTTCCATAGTTGATGCTTTCGCTAGGCTAGAAGTATAAAAGAAAATTAGTGTGTACAACCTCTCATTTGACATTGTCTTTCCTTTTTTCCAGGATAGAATGGTGTTGCTTGTTGTGGGGAATCTGGTTAACTGTTCCTTGTAAGTAGTCTTTATTAATGTTTTTGTCTTTATTAATTTCTGTAATACTGTGGTTTATTTTTCCATGACTGTCATTTTTACAAAGAAATCTGAAATTAAGAAGGTAGGACTCCTTGTCCTAGAGACTTGGATAAAGATATTTTTCCTCCTGGAAAGAAGGTGGTAGGACACTCTTGTGTACCAATCACAGCTTGTCCTAAAGCATTGATGCATTGAATCATTTGCTCAACAAGACAAACATCAAAACATATTAAATATATGTGTATAGATAAGATGGATGGATAGATAGGTAGATAGATAGATAGATGCTATGCCAATAATTGCAAAAATGCAACATAGTTTTAGACTCTTTTATGGAACTTTCCCTACAGGTTACCCAGTAGGCATTCTTTTCTGTAGAAATTTCTCTTTCTTACTAAGTGTGTGTGTGTGTGTGTGTGTGTGTGTGTGTGTGTGTGTGTGTGTGTACTTACATATACGAGAGAGTTGTATGTATATATGATGCAAATATAAACGTAAAGAGAGATAGAGAGAGAGGATAAAGCAAATATGGCAAAATGCTAAATGAATGGTAGGTCTGAGAAAAAGATATACAAAAATTTGTTGGTATGCTGATTTCAAAATCTGGGAGGAGAAAATTTCTATATTATGTAGAACAAACTCAGTTGGAATTAAAAATGAATAAAAAGTCCATTAATAACAGCTTTACACTTGAAATACTTAGGAATAAGTTTTGAGAGAATGTGCAGAATCTTTCTGTAGAAAACTTAATTACCCAATTAGGAGACATAAAGGAAAATGTAGCTAAACGCAGGCCTGGGTGAGAAGATTAACCATTACAAAGATATTCTTTCTCAGGTTAATGTATAAATTTAGAATTAAAATTGTAATTAAGTTACTAGAATTGTATTCTAAAATATGTTTGTCTAATCAGGCAAAATTCTCAAGGATCTTTGAAAAAGAAGAACAGAAGGAAGGAGGGGCAAAAGGGTGTAGTGACTAGTCCCACATGACCTAGTAGTACTTCCGGAATGATGTAAGAGTGTTCCACATGCCCTGTCCAGTACAGTCACTGTTAGCACATGGATATTGTGAACTTGAAATCCGAATAGTGGGACTGAGGAACTGGATTTTCAATTTTATGAAATTTTAATTAATTTGAAGTTAAATAGCCATATGTGGCTACCAAATAGACTGGTACAGGCTAGCCCAATCAGATAATCTAATATATTATAAAGCCATAATAAAACAGTGAGACACTGATCCAAAATTAGAAAACGGAAATATAAGTCAGTACATTAGAATGGAGAGGACACAAACCCAACTAGATAGAGATAGAGGCGAATATATTTTAAAAATATGTGTGTGAAGGTGCATTTATTAAAAATAATTCCTAGCTGGGCTCGGTGGCTCAGCCTGTAATCCCACGCCTTGGGAGGCTGAGGTGAGTGGATTGCCTGAGCCCACGGGTTCGAGACCCACCTGGGTAGGCAAGACCTCATCTCTACAATAAATAAAAAAAAAATCAGCCGGGTGTGGTAGCGTGCGCCTGTAATTCTGGCTGCTCGGAAGGCTAAGGCAAAAGGATCGCCGGAGCCCAGCAGGTCAAGGCTGCGGTGGCCGGGAGCGGCCACTGCACTCCAGTCTGGGCGACAGAGTGAGACTCCAACTCAAAAATAATAATAATAATAATAATAATAATAATAATTCCTAATCAAGGAGACAAGGAAGAGTTATATAATAAAGGGTTTGTTATCACTGAATAGACAATTGGAACAAAATTAAAGCTAAACCGCAATCAAAATAAATTTCAGGATTAATTTAAAAACCATGGACAGGTAGCAATGTGTCAAGCCAATTTTGGAGATAATTCTACTTCTAGCAATCTATTCCAAGGAATTAATTTTAAAAGAAAAAAAAAAGCCCAATATGTCTTAATGTATTCATTTATTCATTGCAATGTTCCTTACAGTAGTGAAAAACTGAAGAGTGTGGAAAAATATTTCATTTTTACCAAACAGGAAAGATAATTGTTTACAGTACATTCACCTAATGGGAACTTTACCTAGTTAGAAGTGAATACTCTGAAGAAGACATAATAAATTAAAAATTACTTATATGTGCTGACACAGTGACTTGCACCTGTAATCCCAGTGCTTTAGGTGGCTGAGGTTTGGGCTACGTAGTGAGACCCTCATCTCTACAAAAAAAAATTTTTTAATGAGCCAGGCATGGTGGTACAGACGTGTAGTCCTAGCTACTTGATAGGCTAAGGAAGGAGGCCACTTGAGCCCAGGAATTAGAGCTATGATTACACTGGGTAGCAGAGTGAGGCCTCAACTCCTAAACAAATAAACAAACAAATGCAAATGGATGAGGTGGCTCAAGCCTGTAATCCCAGCACTTTGAGAGGCAGAGATGAGAGGACTGCCTGAGCTCAGGGGTTCGAGACCAGCCTGAGCAACATGGCAAGACCTGATCTCTGCAATAAATCAAAAAATCAGCTGGGTGTGGTGGCACATGCCTGTGGTTCCAGTTACTTGGAAGGCTGAGGCGGAAGGATCACCTGAACCCAGCAGGTCAAAGGCTGCAGTGGCCTCGAGCGTGCCATTGCACTCCAGCCTGGGCGACAGTGTGAGACTCGGACTTAAAAAAAATATATTAGGGCAGAGTAGTGGAAAAGCCAATAATGTTACAAATCCACCTCCATGACCGCCAACGTTTCTCCTGTGTCCTCAGCGCCTTGTTCGGATTGATATACCGCCCCAAGGACTTTGCGTCCTACATGCTGGGCATCTTCATCGGTAACCTGCTGCTGTACCTGGCCTTTTACATCATCATGAAGGTAGGAGGGGGCCCTGGAGCCAGCAGAGCCTCAGGCTCTCAGGCAAACGCAGGCCAGGGTCCAGCATGGCCTCTGCTTCTCACCCGGCAGCTCCGCAGCTCGGAGAAGGTCCTCCCCGTCCCTCTCTTCTGCATCGTGGCCACCGTCGTGCTGTGGGCTGCCGCCCTTTATTTTTTCTTCCAGAATCTCAGCAGCTGGGAGGTAAGGGGACACCTTCCTTGTCCAAGAATCTCTCCCTCCATTTTATCTTTTTGACCTTTCTACCTCCCTCTCTTAATGTATCAATTGCTTTTTATCTTTTTTTTTTTAAAGATGTGGGGTACAACTCAAGATTAGATATACAAGTAGTCATCATACATGTAAAGTTTGGGGCTCCCTTTGGTCCCCACTTCACCTGGTTTGAGATCAAGTACGTTTATTGATATCATGTGCTCCCCGACTCCCCCGGCAGTATCTGGCTACTGCCAATCCCTTCCTTATAGTATTATGGTAAATGATCAGGGTTCACTTATGAGTGAGAACATGTGGTACTCAGTTCTTTGTTTCTGTGATAGATCACTGAGAATTATAGACTCTAAATCCATCCAAGCTGCTGTGAAGCCCACAATTTTGTCCTTATTTATGGCTGTGTAATATTCCATCATATATATGTAACACGTTTTTAAAATCCAGTCCAGTTTTGATGGGCAGCGCTTTTATCTTTTTTACAGTCTCTAAAATGAAATACTTCTCCAAAAGGGGTGGTTTTTTAATGTCCACACATAAATGCACGTTGACTGGCATGTGGTCACCATTCTCAGGGTAGTGCTTCATAAATGGGTAAGCACTACAGACCACAGATTTGATCTTCATTATGTGTTGTATTATGATCTTGGTCTCGATGGATGCTTAGCATGTGCAGAGACCTCGAGTAGTGTGTCTTCTCTGCCTTTGTCATAATCACCATCCGCCAACAAATGCCCAGATGTAGGAGTTATTACATCCATTTCATAGATAGCAGAGCTGAGGCCTGGAAAATTAGTGCTGCATCTCAGGCATAGAGCAGGGAGGAAGTCTTAGCTCTTCATCATTACAGACTTCACCACAAATTTTAGAACATTTTTATCACCCCAGAAGAAAACCTCACACACCTAGCAGTCACTCCTTATTTCTTCCTAACCCCTTACCCCTAGGCTACTACTAATCTTCCTTTTGCCTCTATATATTTGCTTATTCTGGATGTTTCGTATCAATGGAACCAGCCGTATGTGGCCTTTGAGTTTGGTTTCTTTCACTTAGCACAATGTTTCCTAGATTCAGCGATGCTGCAGCATGTCTGCTTATTGCTGAGAATATTCCATTGTATGGATAGACCACACACCTTCTACCCATTCACCAGTTGATGGATACTTGGGTTGTTTCCACTTCTTGGCCATTGTGAGTGATGCTTCTGTGAACATTTGTGTGCAATTTTCAAAAGATTTTATTAAAGTAAAATATACATATAAAATTTACTATCTTTACCATGTTTAAGTGTCCAATACATATATTTGTACTCACTTTTCCACCCTTCATCTCTCTCCCTCCCTACCCTTCCTGGCCTCTGGTAACTCCATCTATTCTCTATCTTCATGAGATCCACTATGTTAGCTCCCAAATATGAGTGAGAACATGCAATATTTGTCTTTCTGCGCTTGGCTTATTTCACTTCAAATAACCTTCCAGTCCTATTCACGTTGCTACAAATAGTAGGATTTCATTATTTTTTACGGCTGAATAATAGTCCATTGCGTGTATGGACCATATTCTCTTTAACTATTTATCCACTGATGGGCACTTAGGTTGATTCCATATTTTAGCTATTGCAAATTGCGCTGCAATAGACATGGGAGTGTGGTTCTCTCTTTGGGATATGGATTACCTTTTCTCCAGATATATGCCCAGTATTGGGATTGCTGGAGCATATGATAGTTCTATTTTTAGTTTTTTGAGGCACCCCCATACTGCTCTTCATAGTGGCTGTACTTATTTACATTTCCACCAACAGTGTGCAAGGGTTCCCTTCTCTCTACATCCTTATTAGCATCTGTTATTCCCTGTCCTTTTGATAAAAGCCATTTTTCCTGGGATGAGATGATATCTCATTGTGATTTCAATTTGCATTTCTCTAATGATTAAAGATGTTGCATACTTTTTCACATAACTGTTGGTCATTTGTATGACTTCTTTTGAGAAATATCTGTTCAGATCTTTTGCCCATTTTGTAACCTGCTTATTTGATTTCGTTGTTGTTGTTGTTATTGAGTTGTTGGAGCTCCCAATATATTCTAGTTATTAATCCCTTGTCAGATGGATAGTTTGCAAATATCTTCTCCCCTTCTGGGGTTTGTCTCTTCACTCTGCTGATCATTTCTTTTGCTGTTCAGAAGCTTTTCAGCTTGGTATAATCCCACTTGTCCATTTTTCTTTGGTTGACTGTGCTTTTGAGGTCTGTATAGACACGTTTTTTTGTGTGAATGTGTGTCTTCTTGGAAGTTAACTTTTGGTGCCAGACATCTAGTAGCATTTTGTAGCTTTCCGGATGCTCAGCCCTCTAAGCAAGGGGACTGTGAGAATCTTGCCCGTGTCCTGCCTCACCTTCCTCCAGGGAACCCCAGCTGAATCCCGGGAGAAGAACCGTGAGTGTGTCCTGCTGGATTTCTTCGACGACCATGACATCTGGCACTTCGTCTCTGCGACTGCTCTGTTTTTCTCATTCTTGGTGAGTTTGCCATATCCTTTTGTCATTTTCTTCTCTCTTTACATCTTGTACTCTTGTTTTGTTTTTGTTTTTTTCCTCTTCTACTCTTCCTTACATCCTCTTCTTTATTCTGCTCTAACTTCCCTTGCCAACTCCTTATTGGAATTCAATATACAGACCATCTTATTTCTTATTTATATATATATATAATAATTTGGAAAAGTCAAACTTAGGATTAAGAGATACACACACACACACTCTATATCCTTTGGTTAGAGTTTGGTTTTCCCTTTCCTCTTACTCTTCAATATTTTTAGACAGAGTGGCACCATTATTTTCCCTAAGTTATACAGCACGTTTGATCTGAATTGGTTATTAGACCCACACAGCTTCAGGAAAGTTCTGATAACATAATCAGTCCTTCTCATGCCATACTCACATTTCTCCTCCTCTTCTAGGCTGACTGAATATTTTACAAATATTTTACACATTCCTTGAGTGGCTCAAGATAGCAACCAGGCCTCTGTTGCCTTCCAAGCAGTCTGTCTCAAATCTCTCCTATAGTTTCTCTGTTTTTTGCTGCAGCCCTTTATGTCAACCCTGGATGATAGCTCCCAGTTTAATCCTAATTTTGACTTTTCCAAATTAAAAGTCCATGTCGCCGGAACACAGGTTCAGTTGACAGCCCCGGGGGCTGTGACAACTCTAAGCAGGCTCAGGCCAGTCAATGGAACCTCAGAGTGGATCAGGGCTGTCCCCTAGTGGCTGGTTTGGGAGGTTGAACGAATCTGTGTAAATATCTCTCATGGTTTTTATTCTATTTATTAGCGAGACAGAGACAGCAAAGGCGGAGCTAAAGATTCCACGTGGGGAGAGCGATGGTCAGGGAAGGAGGGTACATTTCTTTTTTTTTTTTTTTCTGAGTTGGAGTCCCACTCCATTGCCCCTGGCTGGAGTGCAGTGGCACACTCACGGCCACCCCCAGCATCAACTTGCTGGGCTCCGGTGATCCTTCCATCTCAGCCTTCCAAGTAGCCAGAACTACAGTGCGCGCTACCATGCCCAGATAATTTTTGATTTATTGCAGAGACAAAGTCTTGTCAAGTTGCCCGGGCTGGTCTCGAACCCGCAGGCTCAGGCACTCCACTTGGCTCAGCCTCCCAAAGTTCTGGGATTACAGGCTGAGCCACCGAGCCCGGCCGAGGGCACATTTCTTAAGCAGCAATACTCTGTGCAACAGGACTTCATTTCCTCTAGGTCTTGACCTAAATGTTCCCTTCTAAGTAACGACTTCCCAGACCACCCTATCAAAAAAAAAATTTTTTTTTTTTATTAGGGTTCTCACTCTGTCTTCCAGGCTGGAGTACAGTGGTACAATCACAGCTCATTGAAGCCTCAACCTCCTGGGCTCAGGTGATCCTTCCACCTCAGCCTCCCAAGCAACTGGGATTACAGGTGTGCACCACCACGCCTGGCTTATTTTTTTTATCTTTGTAAAGGTGAGGTCTTTGTAGAAAGCCTAGGCTAGTCTTGAACTCCTGAACTCAAGCAATCCTTCTACCTTGGCCTCCCAAAGTGCTGGGATTACAGGCATGAGCCACCACACCCTGCCCTCTCATATTTTTTTACTCCCCTGTCACATACTTCCTGTATTTCCTCCCTAGTTTCATATTCATCCTTAGCATATATTACTCTCTAACATACTATATTTCATTCATGCATCTATTTCACATCTAAAGCCCTCTCTTAAATGTAAGCTCCATGGAGGGTAGGGATTTTTGTCTCTTTTGTCCCCACTTATATCTCCAGCAGCTAGAACAGCACTTGATAAATCCTTACATATATTTGAATTCATTGACAACTGAATTGCATCATTGTAATTAGTGCCTGTGACCAGCAAGGAATTACAGAGAGCGGTGGAAAACGTGACAGTGAGTGTGGGAACTCAGTTTCCAGTCCGTGGAAATCTCAAGAGAAAGTAGAGACCTCGTGTGACAGTGATGGGACATTCCTTTAGTTTCTCTATCCCTCTCATTTCAGGTGTTGTTAACTCTGGATGATGATCTGGATGTGGTTCGGAGAGACAAGATCCCTGTCTTCTGAGCCCCCAGCACTAAGAAGGGGAGAGGGTGCGATCAATCTTGGTGCTGTTTCACGAAAAACACAGTGACTGCAGCAAAGTGACCACTGCCAGATGCTCCCCTTACCCTCGGTGGAGTCAACTCAGCGTTCACACAGGAAGGAGAGGAGCTAGGGGAAATCTAACCTGTGAGAACAGGAAGCAGAAGGAGAGACCTGCTGAGGACAGCAGCAAACAGGAGGAACTGAGACAACACTTCCTCTTCCGCCTGCAGTGTTGCGAGTGAGACATGGTCAGAAGCCGCATCCAAGTTAACTTGCTATCTTGGGACACCTCCCACACTCCCCTGAGATTTGCCAGCAGCGGCAGAATGCTGCTGCACTCTTCCTTCCAGCTGCCACCATGCCCGGAAAGGCCAGCACCTTGGACATCTCACCCAGAAATTTTGGCTTGGCCCCCTTCACACCTCTGTGACATCTGCTGTTCTAGGCATCTCAAAGCACCAGTTGGCTTCTCCAATGTCCTGGGAAGGCGTGATTCCTCAGATTATGGCAGAGAGCTGGACCCAAGGCCCCACCCAACTGGGATTAGATGTTCTGATAGCACCAGCTAGTCACTTCCTCAGAATGCCAGATGCTCCCCTCAGGCTCCTAATGCCATTGAAAAGACTTGGGATTGGGCTTTGTCACACACTCCTCTTAATAGGGAACTTCACTGGGACCAAGGCCTGGGTGCTCACTTGTTTCATCAAGGTGTCTTCCTCTCACTGCTGTGTGTGGACCTCATCACTCTGGCTCCACCCTCTCAGGAAGGCCCTGTCATTCCACAGATGTCTGTTGTGCTCCAAGGCAGAAGGGGAAATGAGAAAAACTCTTCTGGCAGCAGGAGGAGCAAGAGAAATGACTGCCTGTGCTGAGAGATGGGTGACTTCAGCAGCAGGCAGACAGGCCTCCCCTAAGGACATGGGCCCCCAGAACACATTCCACAGAGAGAACTGTGCTCACTCGGTCCTCCAACTCACACAGCTCAATTTGGTGCCCACAAGCCTTTGGGAAAGATCCAAGTGTCCTAACACTACTCTAGGGGTCCTCCACGACTGAATCCTTCATCTGTCACTTTGTGTAGACCAGGGTTCCATATGTTCTCCCTGAAGTTCCCAGAAGTAACTCTCAGGATGAGCACACTTCCTCTTCTCCTTGCAAAGAGCACAGCTAATTTGATATCGCCTCTTGGTTGCACCTGCTCTCCTTCTCTCCCAAGCAAGGTGTTAAGGAGTTTGGCATTCCAGATGCACTCTCTCATGGTCTGACAGCTCTGCCTCTGAGGAGTCCCATGTTGGCCATTGCCTGGATGGAGTGTGATGTAATCAGGAAATAGACATACAAGTACACGCATGCACATGTATTTGCTAGTGAAGTTGGGGTCACTTGTCGCCTCATTCATTAGAGAAATGGATCATTCTTTAAAAAAAAAAAAAAATATATATATATATATAATTGTGTTTTTTGCCAGGACCAGTGTGGCTCACGCCTATAATCCCAGCACTTTGGGAGGTGAAAGGGAGAGGACTGAGTCCAGGAGTTCGAGACCAGCCTGGGCAACTTGGCGAGTCCTCATCTCTACCATAAATCAAAAAATTAGCCGGGTGTGGTGGCATGCACCTGTAGTTCCAGCTACTTGGAAGGTGGAGGCACAAGGATCCCCTGGGCCCAGCAGATTGAGGCTGCAGTGTCCATGAGCACTCCAACCTGAGCGACAGAGTGAGACTTCGGCTAAAAAAAAAAAAAAGTATTATTGTTTCTCTAAAATATCTTCCTCACATTTTATAAGTTTGAACAGCAAGCCTTTCCTGATTTTAAAAATATGAAGATACTTTCAGTGATATGTTTTGTGATTTTAGAAAAAATGTTCCCAAACGTGTACTTGGTCTTTTGTTATTATTTCTTAAAAATTCTTGGTGTCTGAGTGTGGTGGCTCATGTCTATAATTCCACCACTTTGGGAGGCTGAGATGAGAAGATTGCCTGAGCTCATGGGTTTGAGACCAGCCTGGGCAACTTGGCGAGACCTCATCTCTACAATTAAAAAAAAATTAACTGGATATGTGGCACATGCCTGTAGTTCCAGCTACTTGGAAGGCTGAGGCAGAAGAATCACCTGAGCTCAGCAGGTCAAGGTTGCAGTGGCCATGAGCATGCCACTGCAATCCAGCCTGGGCGACAGTGAGAGTCTGACTCAAAAAAAAAAAAAAAAAATTGTCGGCTTCCAGTAACCATATGAAGGTCACGCATTATATAGTTGTGTTAACCTAATATCTGATAACACTTTTTGAACCTGCTTGACTATGACTGATTTGACTAATTCTTTCATTTTAAGGCATTCAAGTTTTCTAATCCAAAAAAGACCCATGAAGGAAATGTAAACGATAAGATCCGTTCAGGTGGCCATATGGCCTGAAGTGGATACATTTAAAGACATATGACCTGTCTGATAGCTTCTTTGGGAAAATATTCATGGGAATGGGGAGAGGGCCTGGAGAAAAAGACAGACCATGCTGCTATACCTTTGACCGACTTCTGATCATGTCTGTCTTTTGCGATAAAGTCACACACTGTGGTCAGTTTTGTGCCCTGCAGCAGTACTGAAAGTCCAGACCAAGCCTGTTTTTATAAATATCAATTCTTGATGTACGTGCTGCTAATTCTTTCTACAACACTGATCTCACGGTCGAAGCACATAAAGTCGTCCGACTGCATCTGTGAGATTTACACGCAGCACTGGGGGAGAGGCTTAAATAGCGGAACAGTATGTCGTGTGCGTGGCACGATGCCTCGGTGAACCCTTGCCTGTATTTGTGGGCTTTGCTGTTCAAAAGAGAAAGGAATGGTAAGTCAGAAAGTCAAGTTCACCAGGAGGATCACTGGAGGGAAGCAGTCACTGTGAAGAGGCTCTTGGCAGGGCTAGCACAGCAGTCATGAGTGGGTCAGCTGGAGAGGGACAGAGATGTGGCAGCCAGAGGAGCAAAGCTGTGCACATAAAAACTGACCTCTTCACACCTCTGACAAATGCTGGAGAAGCAGCCCCACCTGTTTTTGCTGGATGGTTTACTGAGGGATTAGCCTGGTTTTATTTTAGCAGCAGCAGAAGCCATTGGAAAACTAGAGTCTATCTGGGGAAGGGACTTTCCATGGCTGAAGGAGATCACGGAGCCAGCTCCTTGGGGGCAAAGAGAGTGGCACCTGTTCCCTTTATAACTCCAAGCACTCACCAGAATGTTCCATGGGGTTGCAAAATGTACGTGTTGGTAAATCAAATAATACCGAATCTTTCTCATTCTGGGTGATAGTCTCTCTGTCTAAAACTTGAGGAAAAGGGAAAAACAAAAATAATCATTCTTCACAGCAGTTAAAGGAGAATCTGGTAAGGGTTCCAAATATGTCAACTTCCTTGCTGTGTGACCTTGGATAAGTCACTGGACCTCTCTGATCCACAGCTGGTACATCTCCATGTTGCTACCTGAAAATGGCAACATTAGAGATGCATAGGGCTCTGGGAGCAGGGCTAGCACATAGGATCCTCAACTCACACCTCCACTAGGTGGAGTTGCACCAGGAGGCAGGTAAGGCTGGGGTCGCTCTCCTCCAGGGACCTTCCTTGAAACTAACTGTTCTGTCTCCTGCCCTCAGTTCCAGGAGGCCCTGAAGGGGTGGGAGACCTCTTCCTCTCCAGGGACACTGCCCAGAGTTGGCCACCCACCTATTCCCCACCCCTCCTTGTTCTTTACCATTGCATTTCCCTGACTCTGGCCCTTCCAATGCTTATTCCAACTCAGACGGAAGAATGCTACCAAAGCTGGGGCCAAGCAGAAACCCCAGCTGTGTCTAATGTCGCATCTAATTATTGCTGCCTCTGTCCTGGGAGTTGCAGTTTCAAAGGAGTGCTGTTTGCAAAGGTCCCCCTCACCCTGCCCTGCACCAAGTCGCCTGTACGGCGGACTTGGATGTTCAGCCTGTGTGTGGCGGGAACTTCAGCCCACAGGTGACTTAACAGCCCCAGAAAGAGGAAGCATGGGAGCATCACTCTGCTTTTGAAATGACCCACTCTGAATCAGAAGTCCTTGGCAAAACTAAGGAAAAGCACTAAGAGCAGAAACTATCCGCTCTGCCTGAAGTCGTGTAAAACCCTTGTTCACCATGGTTCTGCCCAGTCTATGGTAAGACTTTTAAAACACTGTTTGGAGGAGACAAGATGTATTTACATGGGTAAATGCTAATGTCTCCTCAGTATTAAGCCACCATTTTCAACGAGGTTAAGTGCCTGTTAAAGCGTAGGCCTTAACACTTTTGAATTCAAATAGGCTTGGGGAGATTCACAGACCAGCCTTCATCACCAAGTTTCTAGAACACTGTCGCCATAGAGTTTTGGCTTGCGCAGGACTCTTCTGCAAATGAACTCCAAGGGAGGCCTTTGTACATTGTATGGTTTTTCTGAAGTGTGGTCTTGCTATTCTTACTGGAATACAAAGATGACCAGGTGGTTGCCATTGTGCACAAAGAATTACCCTTTACTTCCCCAATCTTGGAGAAATAGAGTTCTGCCTTCTTAAATATCTCTGAATTAAGAGATGTCATCGTTTGCCCTGAACTCTTATATTTTTAAAAACTCTCTGACTCTGTCCTACATCTTTTTGGCTGCCTTGAATGCCCTGTCATCTAAAGCTTACTCATTCCACTGGAGATGAACAATAGTTAACATATCTTAACATACAATAGCTTTGAAGTTGTATTGCATTTCAGTCGAGTGCTAAATAAAGATTGGATGTCCCATCTCTTGACCCAGCCATTATAGTTATGATTTAGAAACCAACAGATTTAAACCATGAAAGATTTTCAAATCAAGACAAGATAAATCTGATATACAATCTCACCATGGGTAGCTCCTGTGCCCCTACTTTATATTTACCCTAAATCGTGACATTTTTGTCATGAATTAAGACTCTGAGTTCTTTAAGCAGAATATTGTCCAAAATAGTTCAAAAGCTCTCTCTCTTAGGGTGCTGGAACACTTGCTATCACAGAAAGAAGTTGGTTTGCATTTTATGATTTTTATTACATTTCTTATCCAAGCCTTTCACAAAGCACCCTGGTACTAGGCAGGCCCCTTCTAGGAATGAGGACAAACTCAGGTATGAGGTTTACTCTGCTTCTATCTCAATATGGGACAACTTGTGAAGTAATATGCATTTTTAGGGGGTACACTTCCCTTTTATTCTCTCCTTCCTCACCACATCTCTGTTCACTTACACAGAATCAGAAATATGAGGGGGACCCAAAAAAACCCAGAATTTTATTCCTTATTTATTTTGAGTTGGAGTCTCACTTCATCGCCCAGGCTGGAGTGCAGTGACACACTCATGGCTAACGCAGCGTCGACTTGCTAGGCTCCGAAGATCCTTCCACCTCAGTCTTCCAAGTAGTCGGAACTACAGGCATGTGATACCACACCTGGCTAATATTTTTATTTACTGTAGAGATGAGGTCTCATCAAGTTGTCATGGTTGGTCTTGAACCTGCCGGCTTCAGGCAATCCACTTGCCTTGCCTCCCAAATTGCTAGGGTTATAGGCTGAGCCACCATGAGTATTTTTTTTTTTCGTGTTTAAACTTCATTTACCTTCAAAGTACTCTCCATTTGATGCAATACACCTATTGAGATGCTTTTGGAACTTGTCAGTTTTGATACCTTTTAGTGCTTCTGCTGTTTTTTTGTTTCACCTCTTCCACACTGGCCAAACATTTCCCTTTAAA